TGTGCACATGAACTGGATCCCATAAAATGATAAAACTACTGCAGCTGACATAGGCCTCAGAATACTTTGGATTCAATGTAGTCTTAGCACCTTTGGTAACCTGGAGCATGCATGCAGGATGCTTCCTGCTTTTCCCATTAGCTGCCTGCCTCCACTTACCTCTTTGGCTTGATTTCTCCTGCACTTGCACTATAAACAGTTCTCCCATTTTTAAGTTTTTATTTTCCATTGCTTTTTACTCTTGATTGGTTTCTGTAACCTCATCTCAAAAAGTCTTTTTCAAAACCTCTGCTTTTTATTACGATGGACCCAGTCAAACATTGCTGAATTTTGGAAAGGACAGGATTCAGACCATGATGCAGAACTGTATTTCCTACCCCTTCTCAGTAAAAATGACTGAAACTCTGGAAAAGGACGCAATTACGTATTCCAGTGCTGCTCAAGCTGTGTGTTTGGGCCAGTACTTTTGTCTCACTTATACCAGGAGATGGTTGTTTTGCCAAAGATAATTGCAATTATTTCCTGAAATGCTTTTAGTCATCAATGTGTTCATTTAAGGCACTATATAAATAAATAAGCAGGCTCTATCATAGTACAGTATATCTTAAATAAACAATCTTTTTTGCCATGTGTTGATAATTAATGAATGGCTGTTCCTGGCAAACCATTCAACTGCAGGTCCAGGCATCAGACATCATAAATTTCCAAAAACATAGTAACAGCTCCCCTTATACATGCTTCAGACAGCCACTATACATTGCAGTTTCCATGAAAAACAGGAATTTGGACTTAGATGAGTTGATTTTTGTTTTATGGCTCAGAGCTTATAGCTCATATAAGTTGTGCACACATTCCTCCATGGCACAGGCCTCCCTAATATAAAAACAGATGCAGCCTTGTGTTCATGTGGTTTATACAGTGTGTCAGTGTTGGAGATTTAAAAAAAAGTATCCTGCAGTGGCTGAAAAGGAGCTCTCCTTGCTTCACTAATTTTGTCCCTTTTCCACTCCTGCCCACTTCCTATTTCCTGCTGTGGTGATGCCAGTATTACAGCTGGGCATGTCTGCCTCTTTTGTAACCATCTCAGCATTTCCACTTTAGGAAAAAAAAAGAAAGAAAAAACACTGTAGTAGCACTACTGGCAGATAACACAGCACTTTAATTTGGAATTTTTTCTAGTATAGTCTAGAAGCTGTATACTATATCATTACAGAGCTTAGGAATTGGCCAGCAGGGAGGAAGACTGCCTTGCTGTGGCTGTGACACACCAGATCTGGTTGAATCTCCTGAAGAGGAGATGTAAAGAGTTGGCTCTTCCTCAAGCAGCACAAGAGCACACTCAGCCCAGGGGAGGTTTCTGGAGCACAGGAGCAGCAGTGAGGGAGGTGGGTGTGGAGCCAGGAGTGGGCTGACTGCCAGGTCACAGAAGGGATGGAAACAGAGAGATGTTCAAAAGACTGAAAGTGGCAGGTTGAGTTTCTTCAGCTTGGGAAGGTAATGAAAGTTGCTAGACTGATACTGCTGGGAAAGGAGGGAGAGGAGAGAGTTGCCCTTCAAATCCTTTTTAGGGTGTCTCACATAGGAGGCCTGATTTTGTCCTATTTTGATGTAGTTTGTTGCTTTTGTGTTCTAATGCTGTTAAGAAGCAGTGGCCACAAAATGTTGAGGGAGATCTGAAGGGTCATGGGTAGTTTTGGACATCGCAGATAACTCTTTTCTGGTTCAGCTATCAGAGAGGCTGCAAAACACAGCCTTGGGATGGGTCTAGGACCAGTGCAGGTAACTGTAAGGCTCTATAGCACTGCCCTCTGTGTACTCAATTCCATTTCTGAAACAATACACTTTACAAGAGCTGGGTGACAGAAGATAACTACAAGGGAGACGATGGCCAAAAAGAAAGCAGAGGGTGAAGGAGGAAAGGGTAAAAATACTTGGAGGTGTTAAAGACACTGTTCAAATAGAAAAACAGAGAGAAGGACCTGCACACTTACTTTAGCCTTTCTATAGAGCTACGAAAAATCACTCTGGAGATGCTGTGATACCTTCTGATGTAGCTGCTTTCTTTATCTTGTTTGGTGTTGTTTTCGTCCAAACACAGTGCTGTCATTCCAATGGCCTTGCCTACTCAGATCTGTGTTTAGGCAGACACTGGCACACTAGAGCAAGTGTGGATGAAGCCCACCAGGACCATTAAAGGGCTGGAACACATGACTTTTGAAGAGTCTTCAGAAAATTGCTTTTCTAAGTCACAAGAGAAGGCTCAAGATGGAGGAGACCTTATTTGCTGTCTCTGATTCTGATCAGAGGATACAGAAGACAAGACAAAGCCAGACCATTCTCAAAGGTGCACTGATAGGACAAGTGGCATACGTAAAATTCTGATTACAACAAAACTAATTTTTTAATCAGGAGGCTGGTCAAACCCTTCAATAGGATCTCAGAGGCTGTGCAACCTTCAACCCTGCAGATACTCAGAACTCATCTGGCAGAGCCATAACCCACCTTGTCTAGTTGGATCCATTTAAATCAAGACCAGGATTAAATGATCTCCAGAGACCTCTTCCAACCTAATTTCTTCTGTGACTCTATGGCCTAAAAAATTATCTTCTGTTTAAGTTTCCACATATCTCTTATAATAATCATAGCTTCAGCTAAAAAAAAGGAATTTTTCTCATTAAACTGCTTTTAGGGTTCTTTGTAGAAACAGCCTCTGAAAATGTTTGTCATTATTATTTTAAAACCCTTGTTGCAGACAAGCTGTCTTGAGAGAAACATGAATATAATGATGCTGATTTGGATATGACTGGGATGGTAATATAACTACCTTCACCAAAAAACACAGATCAGAGCCTGAATAAACAAATTCTTCAAATGAAAAATGAAGAAAATCTTCTACAGTTCAAGGGTTTTTCTCTAGAGCATGAAAAGAACACTGTATTATTTTTTCTTAAAACTAATCACACTTTAATAAAAGGCCATTTGTTGCATTAGTAAGGAAGCGTTGCAAATCTTTCTCACGGGAGTGCAAATGCCTCTAAGCAAGACAGCTGCACTCAGACAGCACTTCTAGCCCTCAGATGTTGATTCAAGCTGTCTTCATCTTTCGATAATGAAAGTTTTTGTAGTCCCATGCAGGGTAAGCAATAAATAAATCCGCATGTGTTTGGGGTTCTTGTGTGCCATGAAAGTCCTCTCCAGGCCATTAACACTCTGACTCCCCACAGAACTTCACACTTGACATGGCTGGTACTCATCAAGTGCAGCATTCTTGAGTAACTGAGAACAGTGAGTAGGTAGTGACTGCTGATTCTTTAATATGCAACGATACATGTACATTTAAACACAGTTCTCCACTTCTCAACAGCCACTTGTGCACCCAGAGCCCTAATTCCCATAAAACCCTCTTGGGCTGAGCTTGTCTCTAAGTAAGCTGCAGATCTGAACTGTGAGCTGGCTGGCAGCTGACAGATCAGGAGAATCAAATCAAAAAGAGCACAGATAAGAAAAATGTTAAAGAATAAATTTTCTCCTGTTACAAGAACATGTCTTCTCATCAGATGGATGAACAAAAAAAAAAAGCACACATGGGATTTGCCATTCAAATTCTAATTACTGATAACCTACTAATCTTCACTTGTCTACAGAAAAATATAGTTTCACCTCATTACAGCAGAACAAGACATTACTTAATGTTTTTTGGGAAACTCCCAAGGATTTGTCCTTCTTCAGCTAATTCTTGACCTTTATATTAAGGTTCTAGCTTGTCTCAACATTTACTACCTTTGAAAGAATATAATAATTAGCTTTAGTGGTAGCACAATTTTTCTGCTGGCTTATTTATAAACTTCTTTAAGCAAGTAACTAACAATCCTGATGTTTAAGTCCTGCTAGTTTTGGAATATGAATGCCTTAGCTTGCTTTCTTTCGAAAGTAGAACAAATAACATGTTTTCTTACTATGTTCTTTCTTATATTGCTGATGCAGCAGTCCCAAAAAGCACAACCTTAATCTCAGAGGGTGACAGGCTTTGTACTCTGTGTGAATAATGGGAACATTAAATGGACTTGGTCTTCTGAAATATCTATTAGACTGTTTTTATGTTTCCATGTGGTGTGAATTTTGAGGTGCTTCTTTCACTTTGGCTCCAGCATAGCAATCTTTAGTTTCAAAAATTTTTCGGAATATCCAAACCCATTAGAGATTTATTAATATTGTACCTTTTAAAAGTATAATAATAACAACTAGTAATATTGTAATGCATTTAGTAATACTATTAGAAGTGTTTTATATATTAGTGTTTATATTAAAAATACATATAACTTATCATAAACATCAGCGCCCACTTCATCTCAACAGTACACACAACAGCAAAAAGAATGTGGAGTTTTTAACCACCCTAAATTACAGTAAAAATGCTGCTCTTGACTACTGAAGTCCATTAGCCAGGGACAATTACACCTTCTGGAGAATCATGTGGCAAAGAAGTTCATCTCATAATGTACCATTATGATCTAAAGCACACACACACACACACGCACAACCTAAAACCAGAGCTGACAGTCTGAACTCTCCTCTGCTACTCTCCATCCACTCGTCTGGCAGAGATTCTTACATTTCAGCTTTAAAACACAAATTTCAGTACTTCTTTTATAAGGTGTCATACAGATGTATGGAAAGGCTTTTAAAAGCTCCATTTACTTTACTGTGTGTTTCTGTTAAAGTAACACAAAATCCTTCACAAAAATCATGTCCGCCCTTGTGCAGGGCCTACCTCCTTCTCTCACCTCCCTCCTCTCCCTTCCTGCCTCAAAGAGCTGACTGGCAGCCTTGCAGGATGGGGCTGGAAGACACTGGAAACAGATTACAGTTCTCAGTTACCAAGCCAATACTTCCATTCTACGGCAGCTTTTACTTCAGGGGAATGTTCATGGGGACTCTCACCTGAAGTCCAGTTGGTGGAGTGTTCCTCCTTGAAATCAGACAGACCCATTACACTTCAATTTACTTTAAAAGCTTTTCTTTGCAGATGATCAGCAGCAGACATAGCTAGAGCTCTTATTCCTATCCAGAAACAAGCAGTTCAAGAAGACATGGAGCAAGTTTTGCCATTTCACAGCAATAGTTTTACAGAGTATCCACTGACAAGGCAGAAACTACTTACAGTTCAAACACCAAATGAGAAGACCACAGAAGAACTACAGTTCTGAAAGTGATTTTATCCTATTCACAAGAGACAATTTGATTAAAGAAAATTCTCTGCATTTTGCATAAACCAATAGAATTTCAACAGTATTGAGACATTTAATTTAAAAGTGTAACAGAGCTTGCAAAGCACGTCAACTTGGAAGTAAATTCTCGTATCTGGAGATAAGAAGTGTCGGATATGCTTTTTATTTTTAAATGACAATTCCAAACTTTTGTTTGAAACCTACCAGCTTTTAAACTGATATGGTAAGTGGGTCAAGGTATATAAATTCTGAATATGTAAGACCATCTTATTCCTAAAAGGCACTAAAAGTACATCAGACCTGTTTAGCACCAGCACTGTCACAGGCAAATCTTGGATTAAAACACCCTCAATTTTTAATATCCTTTCTCTTTTATATTAAGAATATACATCAACAAAGTTCCATAATTTTACACAAATGTTCCTTTACAATTTCTTGATTTAATCTCTTTGGCCTATTTCACCATTAAGAACTCTTCAGCTTGACAGACTGGATCCAACTTTGGCTTTTAAGATATACTTTGCCATTTTGTGTGTCAGCCTTAATCCATTTGTCTGTTTCATCCTTTTGATTCATGTGACCTGAAAAAGAGAGTTTTGTTAATTTAATTTGACACACAGTAAATGTATCATCTTTACACTGCCATTCTTTCAAAGCTCCCTGGAAGAGAGCACACTCTTTCATTTGGTAGAATTTGTCTATTTTTAATAGAGGCTGCTGACATTTCATTCTTGATATAGTTTATTCGCATTAATCTCATTTCCCATAATACATCATCACAATAAAGTTTTGGATCTTATTCTATAATACTGTACTCTTTATTATGGGCTAGCAATATGTTATGGTGGGCTAACCCTGGCTAGATGTCAGTGCCCACTAAAGCTGCTCTATCTCCCCTCAGCTGGACAGGATAGAGAAAATATAATGAAAGGTTCATGGGTTGAGATAAGGACAGGGAGAGATCAGTCATCTGTTACCATCATGGGCAAAACACTCAACTTGAGGAAAAAAAAAATTTTTATTACCAATCAAATCAGAGTAGGGTAATGAGAAATAGATCCAAATCTTAAAAAAACATCTTCCCCCCCATCCCTCCCTTCTTCCTAGTTCAACTTCACTCCTAAATTCTCCACCTCCTCCCCATCAGTGGGACAGAGTGGGGAATGGGGATTGTGGTCCATTCACCACATCATCTATCTGTATTTCTCCTTCCCCCATAGGAGGAGAACTTACATTCTTCCCCTATTTTGGCATAGGCTCCTTCATGGGCTGCAGGTGGATCTCTGCATCCTCATGGCCCTCTCTGGGCTGCAGGGGCACAGCTGCCTCACCAGGGTCTGCACTATGGGCTGCAGGGGAATCTCTGCCCAGAGCACCTCCTTCTGCTCCTGCTTCACTGACCCTGGTGTCTGCAGGGCTGTTTCTCTCATATATTCATTCTCACTCCTCTCTCTGCTTGTGCAGCAAGCTTTTTCCCTTTAACTGTGTTATCCCAGAGGTGCTAACACTGTCACTGGTGGGCTTGGCCTTGACTGGTGGTGGGCCCATCTTGGAGCCAGCTGGCATTGGCTCTACCAGACATGGGGGAAGCTTCTGGCAGCTTCTCACAGAAGCCACCCCTGTAGTAGACCCCTTACCAAAATCTTGTCACGCAAATGCAATACATCTATCTAGAAGTACTGGTTTTGTCTGGGATAGAGTTAATTTTCTTCATAATAGTTAGTATGGATCATGTTTTGGATTTGTGCTGAAAATTGCGTTGATAACATATAAAATTTGCTACTGCTGCGTGGCCCTTGCACAGCATCAAGGCCTTTTCTGCTTCTAATACTGCCCTGCCAGCAAGGAGGCCACGGGCACACAAGAAGCTGGGAGAGGACACAGCCAGGACAGCTGACCAAAGGGATATTCCACATCACATGGCATCATGCTTAGTATATAAAGCTGGCAGAAGAAGGAGGAGGGGAGGAGCATTCTGAGCGACAGCATTTGTCTTACCCAGTAACTGTTACATCCCCTTCTTTCCTGGGAATGGCTGAACACCTGCCTGCCCCTGGGAAGGAGTTAAAGAATTCCTCGTTTTGCTTTGTTTGCATGTGCAGCTGTTGCTTTACCCATTAAACTGTCTTTATCTCAAGCCATGAGTTTTCTTACTTTTACTCTTCCACTTCTCTCCCCCATCCCACTGGTGGGAGCGAGAGGCTGCATGGTGCTCCGTTGCCAGTTGTAGTTAAGCCATGACACTACATGACATATTAATCTGGTTAAGTAATTTGAAAAGTTCTCATTATTACTGTAAATACAGAAAAGAGACCTCATTATCCAGATGACCAGACATGTTCCTACTATTACTTTTTCTTATGATAATGTCCTAAAAAAAACCAAAAAACCAACTCTGAAATGTCCATCTTCTTACGTTTCACATAAACTTAGTTTCACAATTATGCTCTGAAAAGCTCACTGTATAATAGAGTTCAACTTACTTTCTCTCAGCCTCAGTTTCTTAATTGTAAAATGAGGGTAAGTGACCTTCCAAATTTATACAATTTGTGTCCAAATTGGGAATTAAACTGAGATCTTTTAATCAGAGCCTTTATCACAAGATCAACCTTCATGTGTTCGTGTGACTGAGTGAATTCTAAGTTTAGAACTAGTTTGAGCCTGGAATAGCATGAGGGATGGCAGGAAAGCAGTTTCTGAACCAACTTTGCAAAACATGCTCTGCTCTGTAACACAGCTGAAGTTAAATGTTGGCCACAGCAAAAACAGTGGCAGAAGTCCAACTGACATCACTGCATCGATTTCCAAAACTCAGCTCTGTGTGCCAGAACTTTTCAATAGCATTTCAGTGCTTTGGTAGTTCTAAATGAGATTCATTTAAGTTTATGGGCCAAACCCAGAGCAATTCACTACAGGCTGAGGTACCGTTTAGAAGTACAGAGTTTTCAGAGTCCAACAGTGACAGAGTCATTTTGAAGTCCTTTGTTGTCAGATTACACCATGCCTTCAGGTGTCTCTGTGGGGATGTCCCAGTACAACTTCTGCACACCTGACTGTTTGGGGCAGCAGCAATCTCATTCACACTGTGTCTGTATCATTCCTACTGTAAAGCAGAAGCCACAGACTGACTCGCCATCTCATTACAGACTTAAATCTAGGATGATCATCACCAATAGCCTACAAGTGACAAAAAACTGAACCAACAAAGGAAAATTTCAGTTGATCTTTTAACAGAGCTGTAAGACATTGAAAACACAATTTTTTCCTAAAGAGAGAGGACACAATAGATGTAGGGCAGAGATATATTTCCAGAAATTGCATATTGGAGTGCTTGGTCCTAGTTCCTCTCTCCATTTTTGTGACTACGGCTTGTACTTCTGTACAAGGAGTAAACAGTGAAGCACGGAATTAGCGCTGTAAAAGAAGTTTCATGCACTGCTTACACCCTCCTACACTTATGCTAAAAAGTTAAAGAAGATTTTAAGAAACACAGAAGCAAATTTACATGAGCCATTTTAAAGCTCAGTGGTTGTCTGAGCTCTGTTTCTCATTTTGTATTTGATATGTGAGAGTAGAAAAATGTTTAGTTCCTTATACTTCTTTCGGAGATTTGCCTGTGAGGGGAATGCAGAAAATACCAAATTGCCTGCAAGAAAGTGAGCGTCAAGTTCCACTTCATAGGGATGAAGATCTTCAAACTATTTTAAGGTTATCAAGCCCATCGCTAATAGCAGATTCAAAGATATTTAAAATATTTAAATAGCTCTGTGTATGAGGCACTAATCAAGCAATAAGGTTTAGTTGGAGACCTTTTGATGATCATTTGAGTCTTAACTGTACTCGTTGCTTGTACTCTAAACACTGTGGAAACATAAGTGGATTTTGAGGATGACTTTGCTAGCTTGATTAAATCACAAAAGCAAACAGCCTTCTGGATTGAGAATTGGGGGGCGGAGGGAAAATAAATAAAGAGATTTCATTTCAAAACCCACCAATCAAGACAGCAGCATGAGCTCAGGAGAAGACAGATACACCATTATGCTGAGTGGCCACCTTTTCGACTGAATGCCCAGGAAAAACATTGGGGGTTTTTCCCCCCATGGGTAGCGTGTAAGGGAAGACAACACCTTTGCAAACCTTTACACAGTTAAGTACTGACTGTTTATTTACTTGCCTTCCTGAAGACTGGAGAAGTTGAGACCTCTATTTTCATACCATAAAACACAAGAAGAGGATCATATTTTAAATGTTTTTCACTTGTGGTGTTAGGACTGTGGTATATATGAAAAAGGCTGTGAACAGCTTGAGTTAAATGCAAGCTGAAACCAATAAAAATCTGTAGGATAGCATCTCATTTAATGTGTCTTACAAAAGTTGGATGAACTTTCTATTTCACTTGAAGGAATGTAATCTTTTCCAGATACAACCTGGGTCTTTGTTTATTTTTTTTTTAAGATATTGCTTAAGGATCAAGGCTTCACAGAAGGCAGTGTTTGGAGGGACACTGTAAAACAAAGCTCTTCCCACTCAATTCTAGGGGCCATGAGTCAATAAAAACTGCTTCTAAGAAAGAAGGAAAGTTCTGAAGTGCCCTAAGAACAGAGAAAACAGGGAGGGACGTGACAGCAGATAGTGTTACTCCTGGGACCAGAACTGTAATTCTGACTGCAACAGACCCAAGACAGCTGGACAGTGGGAGAGGGAGCACTACACTTGGGCAGCTGGTACATTTCAGGAAAAAACCCTAAGTTTCAGCAGACTGACAGTTACTTCCCTTTTAAAGGCAAGTTGCTTGCCTCATGCTGTTCACTGCCCCTTCAGCTGAGTTTGTATTCAACCCTGGAACTCCAGACAGCTAAAAACACAGACATTACCTTGGAGTAAACAACACAGAATTTCTGATAATGAAAACTCTCAGACAGATCCATCCATAAAGCTTTGTGCATGGTGTAGGAGACTCATGCATCAGCTCCCTCCTTGCACACTGGCTTTGGAGCAATCTTAAAAGCTAAGTCCACAGCATTCCATAGGCCACTCTCTCAGTATAAGGAGCCAGTTCCTGAGCAGTGAGAAGTAAGTTATTCCTGATGGTAGGAAACATCTGTCCAAACCCGCTTTGCTCCAGAGGGGAACATCAGACAGATGTGGAAGTTGTAATGTTTCAGTGCATGCCTGAGTGAATGACTGCTGTAAGGAGAAAGGTGCTTCTCACCCCAATCTACCGGGAGAACCTGGCAGGATGAAAAGACTTGAAGTGTGTTATTAACAGAAACCTGGAAAGTCAGAGATAGGGCAGTGGTGTCAATGTTCATCTTTTCAAAGGGAACTGGTAATTACAGGGTGACTCTCTCCAGAGCCATGGGAAGAAGGTCATCTAAGGAGTTCCTAGTGATCGAAAGAATAACTGGATGCTGGATCAACCCATAAGGTAGAGGCAATGCATACCTGGACATTTTCACAGGAGAAAAGGAGTTAGAGAAGAAAATGGGATTTCTCTTCATACCCAGGATAGACATCTGAGGGAAGGCACAAGTCAGTATGAGAGAGCCCTGCTACCTGTGTGTATGGTCACCAGAAGGCATGGCTCAGAGGAACGTGTGGCTTAGCAAAGCACAAGAGCCGTAGAAAGGATGGGATTAGAATCAAAACCTAAAAATCCTGTTAACTGCTGCAATTGTTGTCATGCTGGCTGACATCAGGAGAATGTATGTCTCGAAAGTAATTCCCAAAGTGTATGCTCTTCATATGAGGACAGAAAAACACAAAGAGGTTGGTTTGACAACTTGAGAAAATAAGAATAGGGAGACAACGATAAACATCCACAGTCTCTGAGGAGCACCTGTGACACGGTGGGACTTTTACCAAGGAAACTCACACAAGTGCTGAAAACCAGATGAAGTGACTGCCAGTTAAAAGCTCATTCGGCACCAAGCAGATGGATGGCGTCAAGTGAGAGGTTGCCACTGGATATGAACTTGACACTAGAACTGGGGCCAGGGATGGAGAAACGTCTGAAACCAGCTGAGTCCATTGCACCACTCAGAGACGGAAGATTTACATGGTTTGGAAATGGACACCATTATCCAAAGGTCCAGGGATTACATTACACCAAGGATCCAAAGAAAGTCTCTGAACGACTGCAAGACTTTTTCCAGTAAAGCTTACAGCTGGCAACACACAAGTTGGCAACAGGAATGGGCTGAAGTGTGCCCACTAGCCACATTTCATTTAGTCCCCATTCATTCACGTGCCTGATAACCTTCCTTTGTTACTGTGGAGTGGGTAGAAGCAGATGGTCACATCAACTTAAGACAAGAGAAAACAGGGCTGAAAGCAACCTGAGGATGCACTGAATTTAACCTGACATGCTCACATCACCTGGTCTTCACAATCTGCAGTACTGACAGTCCTACTGCCTCACCAGACAAGTGCTATCAGAAAGACTACTATTTACTTAAGTTTCTTTTACCATAAGGTCAAATCATAATTTCTAGTCCTATTGCGAGTGGACAGAAAAGTTTATTTCTTTATTTCTCTGCAGCAATTTCTTACTACTAGAAAAATGAATCTTCTCTTCTCCCAGTCTTCTCTTTTTAGACAAAACCACCACTTTTCAGTCTTCTCTCATTAATTGTGGTTTTAGACCTACAGTTGTCCCCATGCTTTTTTGAAGTACAGTATTAAAAACTGGATGCAGTCCAGCAAAGCGTTACTAATGCCATGTAAAGCCAAAGGATTATTTTTAGTTTTACGGAACAGTCATGTTAATGTGGTGCTTATTGTTTTCAACACCGTAACATTACTACTTCCTGATATTCTTATTTAAATATTTCTCCTCTTAGGCTTACACAGCTAACTGTTCCTACCTTCATATTTCAGACTTAAAATAATTTACCGGGAAAATGGCCTAAAAAGCATGTAAATTAAGATTATCTGAATTTTAACCTTCAACATGTCTGTAACCCCTTTGACATGATAATCTCCTAAACTCCTTTTCTGCTTAAATATTGAACACTTTTTAGCCTGCTACCCCTCCTCTTACTTACAGCTATAGGTACTTATATAGTACCGACAGGTAATTATAAGTACTTTTTTATTTACTTATTTAGCTACCTACATAGTACCTCTAGGTAATAATCTCTACAAGCTTCTCAAACCAGATGATTTAAGAATACAGGTAGACCTAGAGACACAGAGAAGGCAATCACTGAGAAGCAAGGGCTTCCTTATTTGCCAGGGAAGAGAAAAAACACTTTGCCATGATTACCATCAGAAATTACTGGAATTAGTGAAGCACTCCCAAAGTGGACAGCCAAACACTTTCACAGATGGAAGCTGGACAAGTACTTAGCATGAACTCCCTGTTTTTGTAACAGATTTCATATACCATACACATTACTTCTAAGGGTGCCTACTGATGTCAATGGAAACAGATGCCCTGTCCTTGCAAATTACTTCAAAAAGTAAATTCCCTGTCACTGCTCTCTAGTCCCCTCCCTTTCTCAGCAAGTGTCCCAGTTTTGCAGGAAAGTCCTTTCCTTTTCTTAAAGAGCAAAACACCTTTTCACACTCTCATCACTGTCTCTCAAGCACTCACTCCAGACTTTCATCTTCTTCGTTTCACTAAATCCCACTCTATTCCTTGGCTACCTTGCAAACCCCTGGATGTGACTGCTTGTGGGATTGCAGTGTACTGACTTCCCCCTCAGTGTGGAAGCAGGGGCCGTGCAGCCTGTGCTGACCTACATGGTAACTGCTGTAACAGCAGCAGGGAAGGCTTTCCTAGGGCAGGTGATAGACTAAGTGCTTGTTTACTCAAGTCACAGGACTCAACCCCGCCTTCCCACTGGACAGTCTTCTCTAACAACTTCACAGTATTCCCAGAGACAAGTAAAGCTTTCTGAAAGCAGAGAGTTCCTGCGTTATCCACATGAGAACTGGCCAGTTTCTGAAAAATCATCTATTTTTAAACTAACCTTTTAACTCAGAAGCATAAAGAAACTAAACTGCTATGCTCTTGTGATACACGTTTTATCCACTTGGCAAAACCCCTCTTCACTCTCTACTTTACATCTCTTCAGTTGCAGCAGCAAGACAGTTATGGACCTTGTACCTGGAACATCACAGTGGACAATGTCCTCATGATGCAGAAATAGCATTAATTAATTTTTAATTATTTGAGAATCTACTTGTAGAAGAAAATGATCAATTATCAATTTTAAGAGGAAGAGACTGATGAGAGTGAGGGGACAAGTGCTCTTCCCGTAGAAAGAATACACCGTCCCCATGTGATAAGGTGAAGAGAAGGAGAAGAGGAAGCATCTCCCTTGCCATGCCAGAGGAATGTTACCGACTTGGCAAAGAAAGGGGAGGCACTGTTTTCAAAATGGTAAAAAAAGGAGCAAAGCACACGTTAAAACCAACTACTTCATCTCCCTTCAGGTTTATTGCTTCTTAGTGGCCAGTGAAGAACAGAGAGGAGAGTGCTGCTATAAATCATAGGTTACATAATGTGAGAAAACACACGAAGATAACTGCTGGGTATAAAGACTGAAGAAGAGACATTACTTCAGACCAGCATTAGTTTAGTTGAATTGTATCTCGCAGAAAATCCATTCCAGGGTCTATTTTTCATTCACCTGTACTCAGATCAATTTAGATCTATGTTTAATAAATTCTTCATGTAATGTTGTAACTTCTTTAAGCAATTAATTATCAGTAGCCTAATGCTGTTGCCTCTGCATAATTCTTGATGATTTCCATGCCTTTGGGACATGTATATTCAAGAGTTAACTAATCAGAGCCGCTTTCGGCCTCAACTGCCAAGATCATTTTCATACAGAATGGTGGGTTGAAAAATTGCATCCGCTTCAGGGACGACTGTCCTACGTAAACACTGACTGGGTTGTGAAACAACAGAAGTCATTCAGCTGTGTATATTTGAAACGCCACTCTTATGTTTAACAAGATGATTGCCTGGCCAGTAGTCCTCATTCACTGGGAGAAGTCTTGTTTTACTGCTGAGGTGATTCATTCCATAGTCTTGCTAAAATCTAGGGTCCTCTAGGTTTCTAACCTGAAAACTTCTAATCATGGATTTTAAAGAAATTGTATTTAATAACCACTAGTAAACTCAAGTACTAGATACTTTTCTTAGGCAGGAAGATATGTATAAGCAGGCTACATATTAAAATTATGTAATTACACTTCTAACTTTTCCTGACTTAAGAGATTAACATCTTACATGGGAGAGGACAAGATTTTTTGTGCTTATTTTCTCAGGTTTAAAACCAAAGCAAAAATCAAAGCCTCACACAATCCTCTATCACATCAGGTCACTCTGACATAACACGTTCCAACAAAGCAGGAGCCTTCAGACACATTTTTTCAATGTTTCCTTTAGAGCAAACTGCATAATTGGTAACAGCAACAGCCTGAACTTCTAGATAGACACATCTGTACAAGGGGAGAGAAATACACACCCTGACAATGACTTGTAAAACTGTTTTCTCAAGCAGGAAACAGCAAGACTTGGGATTCTGAGCTTGATTTTAAATGCATTAGAAGAATGCTTCCAGTAATTGCAGGTATCTTTCCATGTACTGTCTATTCTTCCAGCTCCAACTTCTTCTGCACTTCTAGTTATCTCCCACTCACAACTTCTCAGCCTATCCTGCACTACTGTACATTTATAAATATGCTATATACCCCTTTTATTTCCCCCCTCCACTCCAAGACAGACAGGGAAAACTTTTTATTATATTTTTAATAGATGTTCCTAAGCAATCTATTATATGTGACTGTCTAAGCCAACAAAGCAATGGGTCAAAGTCAGCTCTGGATCACCTCCCACAAATGCACTGGAATAATGCTTAGGATGAATTTGGCTTTAAGACTTGTTAGAGAAGCAGTTGACTACATTCACAAGTCATTTACCAATCAAAATTTGAATGTTCTCTAGTGAAATGGGGAGTACAATGGCACAAGCAAACATTTGAGCATGAAACAGATTGAAAAAGCAGCTGCCAAGAGCAATAAACTAGTAAAGTGTAGATGCCTCTGACCAAGGCCAGACAGACATTTATTGGAAGCCAAGATTAGTAAGTCTTACCACTTATAGTTACGTGATCATCTTTGGAGGTTCTCTGTGTTTCTTTTAACTGGATCTCTGAGTTCACATCCACTTTTCTTCCAGACAACTCTAAATAGGCTTTGAGAGAGGCAGGTACCTTGACTGTAATTGAACCTGGTATAAATTTAAGTGAAAGCTAGTTAGTTTAACACTGAGATCAAAGCATGAAACAAGCAATTTCACTAACTTGAATCAAATCATCCTTAGGTTGTGTTTCGTTTTTTCTTTGTGGTTTGTTGTTTTGGTTTTTTTTTTTCATTTACCATAAACAGAGCACTGTATGTCACATATAGAAAATGGTGTCACAGTATTTCACAGTATTTCTTTCACAGACATGAAAATAAACACTGACATACACTGCTAGAAACATCTCTTGGTGGGGGATCTTATTACAGGAATGAACAAGGGAAGCAAATCTACTATATCTCACAGGTATTATGACTTTAGTTTCATCTTCTAGTTGCATATTTACACCCTGAGCAAGGACAGGGGACCAGACTAGACAAATAATCCAGCCACTGCGTGGCACATGATGAAAGAATTGCTCATCTGGAACAACGAGACACCACTTGCTCACGTACCGTGAACATTAGTGATTGTTTCTGACCACTGCTCAGGGCCAGCTGTTCACATCCTCCAACAGATGCAGTCTCAAAAGTGACTTAACCAGTTTAGAGACTATGTATCACTAAAATGTAAACTCCTAGCAAAATTGCAGCTTTGGTGGCCTGAATAATTCTACCTTTGAGATTAAAACCAGAAATTCTGACTTCTGCTTCCCCTAACTATGTGGTTCTATGCATCAGACCAAAGGCAGATGGTGGGCTCCCAACCTGCCCAAATTAGTCATATTTGGAATTACTCAGTCACAAAGTTTGTAAGCTGTGTCCTACACATTAAATCAAAATCCAGCAAAATTCAGTATACACTTTATTTATATGTGTTCCTTAGTTTTTCCCAATTCCAACATTCACTTTAGAGAAACATAAAAGTGTTTCTTGATGTACATCCCAAAAGCTGAAGATCATGGTAATGAAAGTGATGTTATAACAGCTACATAGCATCAGAAAGCAACTCTTGCTATGCAATTTAGAATCAGCAGAATGACTTGCCTGTGACAGTCCTAATGAACAAATAACTGTCAATATAATTTGGGCCTACATTTTGCTGGAAACACAAAAGCCTCAGGATAAGAAAGGGAAAAGGTCTTCATCTTTGGGCCCTCCTTGGAGACTTGCTCAGTGATGTGACTCATAAAATCCAACACACATGCAGATAATTTATCACAAATGGGACATTTTCTACACTGCAGCTGTCAGCAGTTACTCTGAATTCAGAGGGTAAATGAAAACAGAACTTCAACTTTGCCTTTACTAAACTGTGCTGCCAGAAAAGATCTCAATGTTTTGAAAATAACATTAATTAGCTTTTATTAAATACATTCCTCTTTGCCAAGAGACATTAACTTAGCAATGAGTGATTCAAAAGGTAACCAAGAAATAATGTAAAAATAAATTTCTTTGCACTAATGAAACCAAAATAGATTGTACAGGACACACAAGTGATTTCAATGCATTGCTATCATCACTGCCATTCTGAGTAAATGTTAGGTTTTAATAGGGCACAGGCACTGTCTCACAGAAGACAGAAGTGTACCAAATACCCTGTTCATTTAACTCACCTGAAGTCCCTGACATGATGATAACATAAAAATGCTGTAGAGTGGGGTTTTTTTTGGTTTGTTTGTTTCAAAACCAGGACTAATAAGATGTATTCAGGGCTTTGTAATTTACAGTATTGTATCTTTTGAATGGCAAAACTATTAATTCAACTTTTGTTGTGAGCTTTTAACTAAGAAGTGAAATTTTAGTGAGTAAACAGAAGACAAAGGAAAAATGATAGAGTAAGGTGCTCTCATCTTTGTTTTTCTGCCTTCAAATTTTCAAAGTGAGACATTTCACTCAGAAGGCAGGAAAAATAAATGTGTGTGTGTGTCAATTATCACTCTGCACGTGAAGTATCATGGAGTAAACTGTATTCAAGGTAACAAACACTGTAAATCAAGTCAATTCTGCAGAATTCTGTTGGGTATATTGCTGGGGAAAAATATTGAAAACCACAAAAATTTTTAAATCCATCTTATGTATCATTGCCTCTTATAGAGGCTACTGTATTTTAAGTATTCATATAGGTATTTATATAATTTAAGTAGTTATAGCTTGCTGTATTTAAAGTATTTATGAGGTAAAAGATAATGTAGATAACAAAGAACCACAAACTATTTTTTTTTACAGACAGATAAAAAAAACCCCAACCCAAAACCAACCCTTATCCCCTTTTACTTTACATCAAAAGCTGCCACAAAAAATATTTGGTTTAGTTTGCTAACCTTTCTGGGATTTCAGATCCACTTTTCTTAATTGACTGACATAAACATCTATTGTCCCGTGGTATGTAGAAGCTTTTAGACTTCCATCTGAAGAATCTAAAAAACAAACAAACAAAAGAACTTGTGTATTATTCACTCTTCTTAAATAAACATTTGCCATAATCTTTCTTTATAGTTTCTTTGAACTAATTTTTGTCAATCCTTCTGTGTTTGAGAAGTATCATATTAATTTACCAAATCTCAGACTTTGCCTAGAAAAACAGGTTTCTGAAAAAACTTATCTCCCCAGTCCAGAATTGGGGCACATGCTGGTCCTAAGGCCATAGTCCTGCAGTTGTTCTACATCTACAAGGCCTCAACTTCACTGTACATCTTCCTACAAGGATGTGTTTATCTTCATGTGAAGATCAAGCACAGTATTTGAGCACTAAGATCTATTCTAGTTTCCAAAAGAGTTCATTTGCTCAGACTCTGCGCAGGGAGAACTTTACCCAGGAAAGCCACCCCAAGCAGAACAAAAGCAGTTGTGCACTGTAACACTGTGTTACACAGAATAACTTTGTAAATTCTCATTCACTACATCTGAATTTTAGACAAATGTTTGAGATAACCATTCAATATACACAGGAAAACAGCATTTGTTCTGTGCCCTGGGAAGCCTGCAGCCCTTTATACCTTATTAGGTGAAATTCATGATCACAAAGCTTTGTGAAGAAGCATTTTTTACCAACAGAAAGTCTTTGAGAAACTTTAATTGTACGCTCTAGTAGTCTTTAATTATTTGCAATGTTTTCCATTTTTAAATACGTAGACTTTGACAATATTACAGTGAAGTCCCAAAGAGTTAACTTTCAAACAACTGAACTGACCTATAGCTAATAAAAATTGCAAAGAAATTATGAAGAAACTCTAGAGAAGCATAAAAAAATTACATTTGTACATGAGTAAAAGGCAGTCAGTGAAATATATTTTTAGAGATCACACTAAAAATTAAAGTATTGGCAAGAAATCATGAAATAGTGATAGAGACTTGTTTCTGGATCTACACAGGAAAAACAAAACCCTACAGTCAAGCCTTCAGAAATAGCTAAAACAAAACAAAAAAAAACTGAATGAAACTTTCCATTTTAAAAAGTAAAAATATTACTGAGAGAATGAACTTGATTAATCAGAACAAGGATGTCTTGCATTAATGTCTTACCTTTGCCATATAGTTTTAGCTCTAAATAAACTCATCTGGAGCTTTTCTGATCCCAGATTTTGAGAACAGATGCCAAAGATCAGTGCATTGGTTACAACAGCAAAAAAAATGGAAAAGGATTATTATCCCACAGCTAAAGCTGATTTCTTTGGAGGGGAAAGTAATTTTAAAAAAAGCAGCTAATCCATATTTAGTCAGCTGAGAAACTAAGCCTGGCTTTGGCTAAGAAGAAAACACTAACAGCTAGAATGTGAATGCTTCTGCCATCTCAAGATTTTATGTTAAAGATCTGTTCCAAATCTGAAAAAAGAAATTTAACTCTTCATTTATAATGATCTGGAAAATAGTTTTGCTTGTGTAAGTGACAATGAAACATTTTACTGATGACTTCTTAAAACGCTGTTCATAATAATTGAAGTTTAAAAGTTAGAGTCATTAGAACAGGAAAATTGGACGTGTATCAACATTTTTATAAACATTTTAAGTAGTGATAGCTTGAGATTTTCATGCAAAAGCTGTTTTTGCAGATTCAAATTTAGTAACAGCCAATTACTGACTCTCCACATCATCTTGATAGATTTTGTTGGCAACAGAGACAGGAAATATCCAGCCTTTGACTCTTCTGCTTAAAACAGAACATGTAGTAAGTGCCTTTATCAGTTCTAGGAAGAAAGAAAATTCTCCTGTGATAAGACAGCGACCCTCTCCAGGGAGAACAACTGCAAACAGTCCATAAACCACCACCAGCTGATGATGCTTTACAGGGACAAGGTTTATTCAGTGAAGCCTTTCTCTTCCCACTCTTCAAATGCAAAAGCAGTTCTTGTGAGATTCTTCCCAGTGGAAAGATGCCTTTTGTGAATCTAGCAGCCCCACTACACAACTGAACAAAGTGTTCTAGATTTTCAATTAATATATATTAAAAAAAAATACAATACTCATTTTGTGAGGGATTGGATTTTGTTTTGAGAAGGCATAAACATGAAGAAAGGATGCAGGGAAAGGGCATCAGGCACAGGCTCACCAAGGCACAGATTTACCTGGAAAGCACAAAACAACCTCAAGGGAAGTGGAACACCTTTCCATTGAAGAACACTGTTTTGGGAGGATGACTTGCCAGATTTTGACCCCCAGAGCACATCACTAATACAAAATTTCATACGGAAGAAGAAACTACAGCAGTTTCAAAACCACAAAGAACTTTGGCAGCACTAACCAAACACTAAACCTGACATTACAGTATTGCACAGTAAACAACTGTTTATCTTTGACCTATGGAAGTAACATGAAATATATTTCATGGAATCAACTTAAGATGATTTATGTAATGAATTTTATGGCTATGATATTAAATACAAGTGCTCAGATACAAAGAAGAATACCAAGAGACTTGGAGCTGTTCATTACTTCTGCAAAGCCATAAAGATGCTGTCTTAAGTTTGTCTCTAACTCCTAACAAATAAGGGGGGGAATGGATTAAAAAAAAAAACAAATAAAGATGAGTGATATAACAAAAAAGGTGCCCAAATTTAAATAAATAAATATTTCAACAATGAAAAATTACTCCATATTAATTAGCACAGGCTAATTTGGTAGGACAAAACACAACAAATAATAATAGAGACAATGCATATTTTATGGTTATGACAGAACAAACCTAAGGCAATTTATTTTTAAATATATACCCAGTTTTAGCTGAGATCAATGTGAATAATTAAAGGTAAAAAAAAGGAAAAAGTGTATAGTTTGAATTCAGAGTTTGCCAAGGACTGACAGCTCAAGGGGAAAAACAAGGATAAATCCTGCTACTGGAAAAGGAACAGATGGTCATTCTTGAGCAGCTTCAGCTATTTAATTTACTAGTACTAGAGAAAAAAAAGGGAAAAAAAAGGGCAGTGTGAAGCAAGGTGTCCTTGACAAAGTCTTTGTTAAGTTTTATGAAAAATAAATACAGCTTGAAGAATAAGACCTAACTCACATAACTTGAGAAAGACCATACAATTAAAGATCAGTGAAAGGCCTACAAAGGCAACTTTTAGTATCACTTCTTCTTTCATTTTATGTGTCAAATACTGAAGAAGGGATTAAATACTAGTGATCTTTCCTTAAATCTAAGCAAAACCATACTTTTCCTAATAGCACATAAGGACTGATCTTGTTCATGTTAAAATCAGTGACAAAATCAATCTCAACAGGAAAACACAAAATATTTATTATGTTTTGATTAAAGACTGGAGAAAGTATAAAATTCCAACATATATGAAGCATGATGACAATTTAATTCCTAGAGAGGTGGTTGATGCCCCAAATCCGCCAGCGTTTTAGAGGCATTTGGACAATGCCCTTAACAACACACTTTAGCTTTTGGTCAGGCAGCTGGACTGGATGATCCTCATAGGTCTCTTCCAACTGAAATAGTCTATTCTATTCCAAGAGAAAAGAAAACCCTACATATTCCTCCAAATACAATATAAACTCAAGAACTACTGTAACAACATCCAGAATCTTCAGCACAGTGATATGAGATGCTGTAAAACATACATGATGTAACATCACCAAAACTGTTTATTGCTAAAAGAACACATACAGAAGTAAAACAGTTTATTCTTTTAAGCTGCAAGGAAAACACTGTTGTATTCAGACAGCAGCTACCTGCTCTACATGCTCCAATTTTTAGAAGCAGTTTCTCCAGGACATAAGCTCTGTCTAGAATGCCATATAATCTACATTCAAATGGACACAAAGAGAGGGAAAGGGAACATGGAAAAAAAGACTTGATAAAATCAAGTAATAATTTGGTAGACATTAACTCATAATGGACTGTTTCTTTTTAAAACTTTCATTTTTCATAACCTGACACCTGAGGGATAAGAAAAAGCATCTGACTTTTGGAGCTGACTCCAACCTACCTGGAGAGCAGCACCCTTAGTATAGCACAGTGTGGAAGAAAGCATGGGAATGATGGGGGGAAAAGTGACAGGTCTGTCATCAGCAGAATACAGAAAGAGGCCAACTTCTGAGACACGAAGTTGGAAAATGAAGGACACTTAAAATGACAGCCAGAGCATTAACATACTTAAAGCAGATGGCAAAAATGAGATCAACAAAACTAATAGCTATTAAAAGACAAGTGTGTGCATGGATTTATTTCTTTTAAACCACTTAAGAGCTGTACTTTATGAAGTACAGTAATTGCTTTTAATGGAATTCAGAAATGAGGGTTTTAATTTTAGAATTCCCTAGATTACTTAGCAAAAAACTGAATCCTCAAGACAAATCTCACAGATGCAGTACTACTTCTAAATACATTAAATTGTTTACTGTTTTATTTTCCAATTATCCAAAATGGTCTTCGATACTATAATTTTTTCTCCTTAACTGATTCCCTTCTTGAAATAAAACTTTGGCATTTTGTCTCAGTACTTCACCATGAGGGTGGTAAGATACTGGAACAGTTGGCAAGGGAAGTTGTGGATAACTCGACGCTGTTCAAGGACAGGCTGGATTAGGCCTTGAGCAACCTGGGCTAGTGGGACGTGTCCCTGCCCATGGCAGGGGGGTTGGGACAAGATGACTTTTAAGGTCCCTTCCAAGCCTTAGTATTCTATGATTCTGTACTAGGGAATTGTCTTACGATGACTCTCATCACCATGGAGAATCTCAGGACACCTCAGTTCACTTTCATGTCAGGACTTTACTCAAAGGTTTATCTTCGAGAAGGTTCTTAATTGTTCTTAATTGTTGAGTTTTGGTTGATTTAAGACAGTGAACATCACAGCAAGACATTGAAGCCTTCAGGTAGTCTAAACTGGGTTACTGAAGAAAGAAATTAGCAGAGTAAGGCAAATTGACACTGATGTATTTGTAAAAAAATAATTAGAATTTCTGTGAGCTTAATATAGAGTTTTCCTTTCCATAGTAATTCTTGCTGCCCATAAGCTGGTTAAAGTTGTTTCCTCTCCTCTGAAATGAAACAACCACCATAAGTTTTATCATTTCTGACTATACCAAACACAGAAGACTAATTTCTTCAATGCATAATTGGGTTAAACACAAGTACTTCGGTAAGAAAAAGTAATGGGTCTTTTGAGCTGGAAGGGGAAAACTTAGCTTGGCAGCAGAGTACAGAATACACAATCAGACCATACCAATAACATTGAGAAATAAGCAAATTCTAGCAGGACTGAATGTGAGCCAGTGGTGTGCCCTGGCAGAAAATAAGTGCAACTTGGCAGTATTATCTGGAGCATGGCCAGTGTATAAAGGGAAGGGATTATTTCCCTCTCCTCTACACTTATTAAACCACACTCACAATACAGCAACCAGTGTTGGAGCTCCCAAGAGAAGGGAGACATCAGTAACTGGACTGAGAAACATGAACATAGCCAGGGCATGGAACACCTTCCCCATGAGCAGGGGGGCAGGACAAAATGACCTCCACAAGTGTCTTCCAACCTCAATCACTTTACAATTCTGCAACTTTCTGATGTCTCTTCCAACTTCAGAATTCCTATGAATTTCCTGAATAAAAATTTAAAAGATTACGCAAGTTCTAAAAAGGAAGTACTACAAGTCCATTACTCCCTAAGATAATTCAGGTTTCTAATTACTATTTTAACTAGTAACAAACTAGAAGTAAAAACAGGTCTGGTTGTTTTAAATTAACAAGTCATTCAAAACCCATCAAACAACTGTTAGAAGTAGGCTTCCAGTATAGAGTTGGAAAATAGTTTGTCAGTGACCAACAATGCTCACAGTATAGAAAAAAAAGGAATAATCCCTATTTTCATAATTTAATGATGCCAGTGTGAAATACTGCCACATGCTGGATGATTAAAATTGGACTGAATTTTAGATAATATTTAAAAAAAAAAATTTACACAAAGAACTCATATCAAAATAAATTTCCAAATCAAACTACTTTATAAATAGATAACAGCAAAAAATTAAAGAGACTGAAAGACAACAGCATTGGTTTTCTGTTTTAATGTGGAATTATACAACAAGAAACCGTAAATAGTCACTTGGAATTTCCCAAAAATATTTTGAAAAGAAGTCCAGCATTCTCAACTCAAGTCTGACNTAAATAAATCTCTCAAAAACATGGACACACTCAAAAAACCTAGAGATTAGTGCATTTTTTCAGATAACTGATAAAATCCTGCCTCTGGTGAAATAGATAACTACAAGCTAACCCAACCCTAACCCGACCAAGGAAGCTGAAAGATCTGAGTTGTTCTTCCTGTTTCTATCAGCAAATCCTTGTCAGATCTCTGGCAATTCAACAAGCTATCTTGGGTGTAAATGCCTCATGCACAAAAACCTTTCACTTAAAACTTCACATTTTCTTTCTCACATTTTTAGAGTTGAATCCCCTGGATCTTCAAAGTCTTTTACCTTTGAAAAAATTCATAAAAATACTAAAGGATGTTTAATGCTTTAGGAAAAAGATTAAGTCTAACTAATGCTTTCAGAACTGAAATCTGAAAAATAAGGTTTCTTCCAACTGTCAGATGTGTCTTAATGTTTAAGCTGAACCTGGTTAGTTAAGGAAAATATCATCATCTGTTTTGATGGAAAAAGCTACCTCCTGTGTTAAGAAGCGTTTATTTAACCACACTTCATACTCTGTGAGTTTATTTAAGAGAAGGAAAAACAGACTATCAAGCTCGAGTTAATTCTGTGGTTTAACGACTAACTCATAAGAATGTGTATGGCATTCATTCTCCAGGAATGTTAATACAGGTTGCTTAGAAACATAAGAAGAGTTGTAACGGTACAGATTGTCCCTGAACAATGCTTAGTGAGGGACTACAGTTAACACCATCACCAGAAGTCTTTGAGATTTGGGCCCATAACGAAGTTCACTGACAGAAGGGGAAATCTTTCTACAGACATTCGAAGGACACTGAGCCTTGTCTACAATTACTTTACTTCAATTTTCTGCCACAGCAATAACCAGAATTTCAGTTTCTCATTTTGTGTTTATGTGCTATAAAATGCACTGATATAATGTATTCCATAATCGATAACTCTGAGTTATTCTGTCGTATAAATGCCCAAACTAACAAAAGAAAGTTTATGAGCAGTTTTCACTTCTGAAGGGAAAACAATTAGCATAATAGTTTGGAAGTGTTGAAAGCATCACAAGCCTTCCCCCCCAGCCCCTGAATATGTAATACATCAATGACTATTACTTCCTGATATAAAATTTAAACATAGCTAATCATTGATATCAATAAGTATAAGATAGAGAACTAAGTTAAAGGCACAACTGCATTTGATGTACACTTAGTCTTTTTATCCCACCTTAATCTAAAAGGTGACACTTAGACTCAGTTTAACTTGTGCAAAGCCCAGAGAGTATTGGGTGTTAAAAGTGAGACAGTGTGCCTTGCCCAACTACAAAAGGTTGACAGCAAAGTTTGGAAAGGATCTCATTCAGCTACACAGCTATCAGGGCTACTCCTGAAAAGAAAAGAGGGCAAAAACATTTGTGCCAAATCACCTCTTTTTTACTTTCCCTGTGAATATTTAGGTTTTAGAAAGGAGGAGAGAGGAGCAAGAGATAGAGAGATGGTGGAACATACCTACTGTGATACTCCCTGTTTTGGTCTGAAGGGTGGTGTTACCTATTATGAAAAGAAAAGGGGAAAAAATGTTAAAACTATACTATTTAAACATATTCATAATTTAATTATTTTCTATATTATTGCTTTACAAACAAAAATCTCATGATATGTGGGTAACAAAGAAGTGATTCCAGCCAAGAAAAACACTGAGTAAAGCTAGGCACAGCCTGGATGTGAGGGAGAAAAAAGCAGAGAGGCATTGCAAGGCTAATGCACAGTATTTCCTTACTTTATTTGGGGTGATTTTTTTTTTCCAGTTGCTCTGATGCCTGCAACAGCACTATGTACCATTTAAGTATTGAAGTTATTCAATAGGATGAGTAATATAAACAGTTTCTATTTTCCTCTTTAATAAAGGTATATCCCATCCATCTCCCTAAAAGGGAATTTTGTGCTTTATCTTCAAAGTCTACTTCCTGGACCCACTGAACACTACCTACTCCCTCCAAACTTATTCTTATGTGCATGACAACCCGTGATCGATGCTTTCCATTGACTTCAGTGAGGTCTGAGTACGTTGGACAAACTGGAGAACATCAAACAAAAGTGTGTAAAGGCACAAAATGTAGAAGGGTCTCCGACTGAAACTTGCATAACTTTGAACAGGTATTGGTGTTCCAGCCTTAATTTCAAAATCCATATTCTTCCTCCTTACCTGTATCCTCAAGAGAAGCCAGAAGGAAGACAGATACACCTTGTAACATAAAAGCCATCTATACTACTAACAGTCTAACTAAATTGTAGATGATTCCACAGTTCCATGTATAAATATCTCTCAGAAAATGCTTTAATTTAAAAACTAAACCACAGCATGTCATTCCTGCCGTTCTCTCATTCTCCCAAGAGGATGACAGAACGAAGCATAAGGTTGATCACAGTAATTGAGTCTGATTTAGTAATATACAGTATTCACAGTTTTCAGATTTTTCCAAATTGCATGTGGATCAAGCTCTGCCCTATTTTCTGTAATTACACAGTAGTAAACAACCATTAGGGCTGAGTGCATTCCACTGTATATGACCTGTATTTTTCTTAGTGGTTCGTGGGCCGAAAGCTAGAAAAGCAGCCTATCATCAACAGTCTTATATTTATCTTTTCAAACACACACTGTACAAAATACTTACAGGTTCTGAAAATCAGAGCAGAAACAAAAGCATTTTTCAATGAACTTGAAATGTGTTTGGCTTTACTCTTTGATGTTTTTGAAAAGGCATGCTATAATTATCCCACCCTTTTCCCCATTTTATCATGACTAGTACTTAGTACAACCTACAAAAAGACCTAGGGTTTTGTCAGCCAGCAACTCTCCTGGAGATGAAGGCAGATTATTGTCAGAACAGTATTATTACTGTTCTTTGTTTTTCTGAGTGTTTTGTTTTCTGTTTTGACAAGCAGGTCCTTGAAAAATATTAAACATGTAGAAATCAAACTCCTATTAACCACAGACTTATATGGCAGATACAACTAATGTTTGGCAATGTCAACATATTACTGTGAAAAGCTCACTTCAAACATTTAGCTGGAACAAAAGCTGATTTTAAAGCAGACAGAAATATCCTGCTGTGCTGTGACCTGCACTGACTACAGAGAGTGCCCCAAAGTGCACTTTTGGTCATGTAATTGTTCTGTGAAGGCCAACACTGAACTTCATATTTCTTGGGCACATCAAGGGCAAAGAGAGAAAGACCTGAGTAGAGGTAATTACTAGTTTGATTATTACAACCAACTGACTTCAGCATTGTGGTGTAATACTATGACGTCCAACATATAATAGTTTTTGCAGAATATTGAAGACTGTGGTTTAGTGTTTTGGTTTTTTGGTGCTTCTGAAGAAATAGTTACATTTTCTATCATCTACAAGCCTTGCTTCTCCATGAACACTGTAAAACTTCAAACTACAGTATTTTCATAATTGTCATAATGGAAATTTTGATTAAAAAAAGGGTTTTTTCGATACCAGAAGAATAATTCAGAACCGGAACATGATGCCCAGAAAGGTCATGCAAACTCTGGCCTTGAAAATACTCAAAGCTCAATCAGACGAGGCCATGAACAAGTTTGCTCTAATTGAGCACACTTCAAGCATTCATTTGGGCTAGATATCAAATTCCTTCAACTTAAACTATTTAATATCATCATCATTTAATATCATCTACTCTGGCCTCCAATCGGGAGGTCTAGAGACACATTATAGTGTTGCTGCTTCTTTTCAGAAAGCACGTAGGATCACTCTTGAGGAGAAAAGACAACACAGGAAGAATCATGTCTTGTTGATACCACCTAAGCAGTCTTTCTGCTGTGCCTTTTACAACCAGACGTGTCTATCTTGCATTGGCCTCTTTAGCCACCAACGCGCTTGTAGCGAGTGTGGGTAGAGCCCTTCCCAAATGTTCATTCGCGAAGCCTGGTCATGATGAAACTATTTAATTATAAAATAGTTAATGCAACTCAATCCAAGAGTTGGCTGCAAAGAGGGGTTTCCTTTTCCTCCTATGTGCCCCTTTGTAGAGAAGTTTCACTGTAGTGTTACTGTCTCTTCGCTAAAAGTAGATAATTTCTCAGAATCAGATTTCTTTTTCAAGCATCAAATCAAAAGCTCAATAGCACCTGACATCTCATGTTACAGAAGCTGACAAAAATTACTCAAAACCAATTTCTTCAAAACAATGCATTACTCATTTTCATAAAAGTATGAAGCATGCAAATGAGCAATTAAGAAAGCCCGAGCACTGACAGTGTTGCAATTGTACAGCCTGAGTTTCAACCACAAACTGTCTCAGACAGGTTTGTAAAGTTTGTATTGCCCTAACTTCAATTTTCTCAGAGCAAAGGCAATGAAATCTAGCTTAGTTTTGTGCACAGATGTGCTGATTTGATGCCAACTATCAGCATATTGTCAGCTAAAGGCAAATTCTGGGTTTAGCTGCTCAAGAAATAATCTGTTTTACAAACAAAACAACTACTAAAACTGAGCTACCTGATGAGCAAAAACTATAAGTGGAAGTGATAATTTTTTTTCTACCAGAAATTTTTAATAGGAGTTTGTCTTGTCTACTAATTAGTATGTGTTTGTGTGTGTACTTTAAAAGCATTTGCTCATACTATTAAAACATGATTGAGGAGCATGATGTTTTGCAGAAAGTGTTTTTCTGAGAAAACTGGCTAGAATTACCAAGCAAATGTTAATGTGCAATTGTTTTTAAAAGAAACAGCTAAAGTAACATTAGGTGTTCCAGACCCATTTAATAGAGAGCTCACAAAACCAGCCCTGAACTAACATAAGAAATGCCTGTATAATTTGCATACAATTCTATTTGGTTTCACATGGTTCTTCAGCTAAATGACAATGAAGCATGACTACGAAAGCAAGTCACTAGCTAGAGCAGTTATGATTTCATTTTTGTACCAAGAAAATAAAAATAAACTTTTGGAGGTTCACAGAGAGATGAACATGCTCACAAACTGATCACAGTGTACCAATACAGTCTACAAGCTAGAAAAATACAATAACAACATGAAAAAAAAGCCATTTATTTCTGCCTATGCATACCAAAACAAACTTTACCTAACTGGTTTAGAAACCATTCTTACATTTATTATAAATGGACAGAGGAGTTGTTCCTTTAAGGAAGAGACAAAATGAATTTCTCAAGCGAGATGACAACATAAAATTGCTAAGAAATTGAAGCAAATTGTTCTGAGGCCTATAGCTGAAAATCTGGAACTCAGACTGAGCTGAGTAATTTTCACTCTTTGTACATTCTCCAGTTTGTTTAACTCAATGTTAAATCACCACAAGCACATTACAGCACAGTCAGAATTCAGTGGAAGTTTTGTTCAGTTAGAAAACCACAAGACATTTGAACCACAACTGCTGTTTAAATAAAAGACTGTAGTTAGTTTCAGTTCTAGGTGAAAGACATTAAAGGGTGGATGGATTAGAGACTTCTTCCCCAATTAAAGAACAGGAACTGTCACCATTCCATTAATAATATAAAGTGCTAACACAAAGAGGCTATTTCTGCTAAAAACTTCTAATTACTATCACCTTTTATGATAGTTCTTAGTAGATGCTCTACGATTGGATTCTTCTATGAAGAAAATAAAGGATGGGGAGAGGGAAGAGAAGCCTCTTTACAACTTTTAGTATAATTTTCACTGCTGAATTTTAAAATATTTTGATGTTCTTAATACATGTGATGTTTCTTTCCCACAATACACACTTTTTACTGTTCACAAGTGTGCTCATAAAATTGTTTTTAAAAATAAACACAGTCTGCTAGGTGGCAAAAAAATCAATTCAGTCTTTAATAAAGATAGAATTGTTTTGTTCATATGCTTTATGATTTAGTGATAGTCTATTGCATTAGTCCATTTGTTACTGTGAACATCATGAACACCTTCAAAGTAGCTAAATTTGTGACAGATTTTCCTTCTTACCATGAATACTTCCCAGCATAATATCACCAGCTACTGAAGAGAGAGATGCCGATTCTGCATAGAGATACTTAGTTTTCAGCAGCCCATCTTCAGTAGATATGTTGATGGTTGTCCCTTGCAGCTTCTCTATATTCACACTCTAAGAGAAATAAACTTAAATAAACATAATGGAAAACTTGTCATCACAGCTTGAAGAGGCAGAGGGAAGTAACACTATATAAGACACAAAACAAATGGAAGGCAGTTGCTGGCACAGAACAAATAGAATCAAGTTTTCAGTTAAAAGCTACAGTAGACAAAACAGAAAACCTTTTCATCCAAGAGCTCTGACCAAATAACAAATGATTCTTTATGACGTTCCTGTGAGTTATCACATCTATCACTATTACACAGGTGAAGAACCCAAATAGTCATAAACAGATAAAAAAAACCCCTTGCTTTAATTTTTAAAAATGAAAATACTTATTTGAAAAGTAAGAAAAAGATAACTTCAATAATGAAGACTGAACATTCATACAGCATTATGATACTTGGGGCATTGGTGATGAGTTTTCTGTCACCACAAACTGAAGCATCCACTGTCTTTGTTACATACAGCTATTTATGAAGATTTTTAACTGGCTAACTTTGTAGATGTGGCTTTGGTGAAGGTTTGCAAAAGAGCCACAGCTGCTCCTTTTCTCAGCATGATTGTTCATATTACCTTGGTTACTCAGGCTTCTTTCTTGGACTTAAGCCTCAAGACATACAAAGCCTTGAAAAACTAGGGATAAGAGCTCCATTTCTACTTCTTTTCAATAGAAATGGAGAGAAAGGATAGAATTTCAAAAGTTGCACTATAGAGTTGGGAAATAAAAGGTGACAGATGAGATTATCTATGTAAAAATAGCGGTAAGTCATGTGATATAACCTAAACCTATTTGAACACAACCAGAACAATTCCTATGCTTATGCAACAACCATATGAAATTTAAGCCTATTCTTTCTCAGTTAAATTTGATCTATGATGGAGACATACAATAGTTCATACTTTACCCCTATTCAATTTGGTTTTATGTTGCTTACGCAGACTTTCAGTGAAATGCACAAAATCCTTATTCATTACATGAAATGATACACAGCCTTCTAGATTAAACTGTGGCTTACTCAAATTATCTTTGAATCCTCCTTGTCATTTTAGCATTGCCACCCTGTGGAAAAAAAGTTAATATAAAGTAATAAGTCTGCTGTCACTTCCAGTGTTAGATTATATAAATTATAAGCTATGGATGAAGCAAGAGGTATTCTGACAAATAGTCACTAGTGTTGCACAAACCCAATGCTATATTGTGTCCCAAAAAGTGAGTTGAAGAGGATGGTGCAGTATGGACTCTATGACAGCCAAATTATACTGTGGCCTTACCAATCCATACATACTGAGCTTTATGCTGTCTTTACACCTTAAACCATAAGATTACAGAATGGACTATTGTCTTAAGACTTGTACCATGATGCTACAATACAAATTAGGTCTCCAAGAATGTATCAAGATATATCAACCTTTAAGAAAATCAAAATGCTGTGCTAGAATTAGAGATACTTGACAGTCAATATCTACAATCTCTGCAGGCATTGCTTAGATTCTGTAGCGTAGTTCTAAGCAGCATCAACAGCAAACAAAACCAATTATATTAAGGCATAATTTGTCAATACTGAAAGGGAGAGCAATTCAGCCTTTCATCTTGCAATGCTTCTAACAAAACCCTAATAAGCAGAGACCTTAAACATGTCCTCAGTATTTTTCCCCCAGACTACTCCACTATTCCCTCACCCTGGATAGCAAAGTGCAAACCTGCTGTGACATGGACACAGCAACAAGTAAAAGAAAAGCCACTGTCGTTTTAGTCTCTATGATCTAAACTGGCTCTAAAGAGACTTAAATGACTTGCAAAGAACATTTCCAATTTTAGCAGGGCCATCATTGCTATCAGCACAACAAAAATAAAGTGTGCCTCACTCTAAGGGGGAGGAAAAAAACATCTGCATAGTTTGGGTACAAACTGTCTGCCTTGTGGCATTCCCAAACAGGTAAAGGAAACTTCAAAAAGCTACATCTGTTACTACAGAATGCAAGTTTTGACTCTATTAAGATAAATCATCTTATTTAAAATTTAAGTGCTTTAATATAAACAATCTCACATACCAACACATCTTATTTACCAGTCTTAACTATCTTTCTTAAAAATGTACAGTAATAAAGAGTTGTTTTGACTCCAGATAAAAAGTTACAATAAACAATAAAACAAAAAATTACTAATACCACGAGCATTTGTTTCAGAATAACACAAAGCTGAAGGGAGGTGAGGGAAGAGGTAAGTCAGACTGATCAAGTATAAGACTAAAAAAGCATTTTTTGATAGGGAAAGTGTGGAAAAAAATAGGATTGCTTTTTACTGAGAAAAAATATATTTTCAGTCTCAAATTCTTTAACTCTTGTGGATTTTTAGCAGAACACAGATGTCCAGCACTGCTAAATAAATGTTACAGAAAAGCCCCCGTGGCACAGATTAGCTAATGACTCCCCAGTCAAACAAATTTGATTATTTTTGTCCACTGAACCATCAGGTTTTCTGGAGAAATTCCTCCCCTTCAGAGTAGAGCCTTGAGGGCTGCAGTTACTGAGACTGACCATATGCTCAGGTTAACATTTCTCCCCTTATTATCACAGGATATTCTGAGTTGGAAGGGACCCACCTAGTTTCTTACCCTTTAAAGAAAAAGGGTCAGTCTATCTTTGTAAATCAGACTGAGAATGCTTTTGCACCTGAACACATTTTCTAGATGAAAACTAGCATCCTGCTATGTTTAAATAAGACATATACAGCTCTTTCCCCACATATTCCTGTTCTTGGCCCTCCTTTTTGTGCTATCCTTGCTCAAACATCTTACTAGGGTATTCTCCAACTTCCCCCTCAAAAATATTCTCAGTTTCTCACGTGTTTAGTGCCTTTTACCACATTCTCCTCTGTACACCTCCAGGAGGGGGCTGGAAACAGAGCCATAACTACATAGTGATGACTGCAACTGATGGAGGAAACATCTCATGCAAACACACACAGGAGACACAACACTGACTGATTATTAACAGAAGTGGGCAATTGAGAAAAGAAATCTCAGTCCTTCCTAACTACAAAGTTTGTTAGTGAGTTCAATAACATAAGCTGAAGTATTGTTCCATAACTATGAATTCCTGTTAAAATGCCTTACTCCACTCAAGTTACCACAACTTTACAACCCTAAGAGCGACTTCTAGCAATATTACAGACTACAGAAATACTGCAGTCTGTAATGATCACAAAGAAACACTTTTGAACACAAAGAAACACTTCAACTTAATTTGTATGAAGTTTGTTTCATTGTTTCAGAAGGGCAATGAGTCCGAAAAGAGTTAAATTTTTTTAAAGTATTTAAAGGCTCAGAGAAAAACAACTTCATGAATTATATTTTCACATAGATACAAATTTAATTATTATATTAATTACATAAAAGACAGTCTATCACCCGCTACAAGGAAACACAAATAATTTAGCATTGACGGTTTCTGGAAAATCCAATGGCAAGTTGCTTAGTTTACAGCAGGACATTAAGAACAGCTCACAGCTGGCTCTGTGTAAGTGAGAATATGATCTCAGAACCCAAGGTACAAGGTGTACAACAATGCCAAATGGCACTTCACAGAGATGATTTGGGATGTCTAGAATTTAACGGGTTGGTCTCAAATGTATCCTTGGCAAGACAGAGTTACCCACACTCTTCTGGATTCTTCCCAGTACTGTTAAAGGATACCTGTTGATTCTGACAGACCACACATCCAAACTGCTTCCAGACTGGGCTCAGCTCTGCACGTTCATGCAGCAATGCTTCAGATCTAGTGATTCCTAATGCAATCAGTTGCATGGACATTATGATACCTAAATATTCGAGTTGAGCCTGAAAACAACACTGGGTGAGAGAACTGTACTATTATGTAAGGGAGTTTAGCTCTATATTATTTTAAATAAAGGAGAATGGACTACTTATGTCAAGAAACAAAACCAGATTACAGTAGCTTGTGTTTTGTCTCATACTGCCACCTACTGAGAAAAAGCAAGCTACTTCTCTACAAAACTTTTCTGTTTGTGATTCTTCACATTTCATCTCATAGCAAGATGTGATTATATTTCCTCAGATGTAAAGAAACCTGCAAAACCTTCTACTCTTCCATTCTTACCACCATATAATGCTGGAAGTGTACAGCATGTACAAATATCAAGCCACTATTCATGAGACACTAAAATAAACTCCTGGGCCTACTGCAGAATCCAAGTGCCCGGATATCACCCAAGGAGTGTTGTGAAGGTCTAAATAATTAAAGCTGATGGGTTGTATCAGCCAGCACAACCTCTGTGCTGAGGGAATGATCACATGCTTATTCCTGTACTGTCTGTGGAGCCTGTTTATTTATCCAAATCAAGCATAAGATAATTTAACAGAAAAATGTAAGAAATAGTGAAATGACAAACCAGCGAGGATCATTAAATATTCTTTAGCATGTTCCTCAAATTCAGTAATTTTGTAAGAGACAAACTGAATAAGCCATTGAAGAGCATTTTACTTCCTACTTACCCCCTTCTCTGTTGCACAAATATCTGTATTTCCATAAAGCGTTCCAAGACCAATGACTTTGCCACCATTTGTCCGTATATCAATTTTATGGCTCTGAAAAAGGTTTAAAAAAAAGTCATCACTTAGAATAACCATAATTAAAAAACAAGTTCTTGTTTTTCAAGTTGTACCACATTAACCACCTTAGATGACAAATTCCCATTTTACTGTGAAGGTTTCTTCTCAAGTGATTGCCAAATGTGCTGTTTATTTCATAGAATGGTTTGGGTTGGATGGAACTTTAAGATCAGCTCCTTCCAACCCCCCTGCTGTGGGCAGGGACACCTTCCACTGGACCAGGTTGCTCAAAGCCCCATCCAACCCGACCTTGAACACTTCCAGGGATGGAGCATCCACAGCTTCTCTGGGCAACCTGTTCTGGTGTCTCACCACCCTCACAGTAAAGAATTCTTTTCTAATATCTAATCTAAACCTACTCTTTTTCAGTTTGAGGCCATTCCCCCTTGTCCTGTCACTACATGCTCTCTATTTTTCCAGTGGAGTCAAACTCAAAACAAGTCACCTTTCCCCTTAATTTTCCATACAGGTCAGTGATTGTAGTTGGGTTTTTTGTTGTTGGTTTTTTGTCACCATTTTTGTTTTAACTAGAAAAACACTCTCTCACTATATGTTGAACGAAGGAACAGGGGAAGAAAGAGGGAACTCAGTGCCTTCCACTGAAGATGTGTGAGACGCCTGGAAACTCTTGTCATCAATAGCACAGTCACAGAGTCAGAGGTAATTGCTGAACATGGCAACAGAATTAAAGGGTCTCTCTGGTCTCTTTGTCACTGCTAAGCTGATGGACTTAAGAAGCAGGATAAGATAAGAAGCAGGAGAAAAAAATTAAAAAGAAGCAGTACCACTTTCTCAATAAAGAATTTGTCAATAATTCATACTCTGAAGAAGACCTAGATCTCATAACTGTATTTTGGAATTACTGCTGTCCTAGAGACTTGGAAGGGATAGGTGAACTGGATTGTAGCCAATTAAAAAATAAGAAAAACCCGCACCACTGAAAAAAATCTCAATAAAGCAACCCTCAACAAATCTCATTGGCTGAGTAATGCCTACTACACCAAAATTGCCAGACAAAATTTGTTAAAAAACATCATACAGAATACTCATCTTTTCTGTTGAAGCATTAGCATCCACGATAAAGGAAAGTAGATATGAAATCTCTAGGTCTTTTGTAAAGACATCATAGAGTATACCAAAAATCAGCATGACTTTTAAGGTACAAGTTATACGAACAACTTCTTGCAGTCTGTAGCAATGACAAGAGAATTAGCAGTTGTGATGTTTGCTGGTGCTCTTGAGTGATCCCCACATGACCAGATTTTTTTATTTGAAGTCAATCATTGATCAGTGATCTTTTGCTCTCTACTGTGAAGAAAGGGTCTCCTGCTTTGTTAGTCAATGAGGTTTGTGAACAGTATGACAGCGAAGCAATACTAAACAGTTTTAATCCATCCAGGAGAGGGCACTGTCACTTCAGTTTGCTCCGTAAAGCACATTCCCTAAAGGAGAATCAGGTCTTGTGCTCCACTACAGTATCTAGTCCATAAGGTTTTTAGTAGTTTTGGAAAAATCATGAAGGTTAATACTTCTGTTTCTTACTAATGATTCTGCCTCACTGACAATACAAAGTATAATTCCTGAAGCTATAGTAGAAAAAATGAGTTGCAATCCCTTTACTAGAACTACAGTACTTCTTAAAAACAAGATGAGACTAAAGCCTGGCTGTATGGCTAAGAGATACTGTAACTGAACAACTGTTTACTCTTGCAAATACCTGTGTGGTTGCAATTTTAATTCAAACCCTTCATCTTGCTACTTCAGAGTCAATAAAACCCAAGAGTGGCAACATATCTTCTCTAGTACTGTTTGTTAAAGTCATCACAGTAACCAGAACAAAGACAAGAGATCACCACTCACAACCCAAAAGAATACTTAGGTTAAAAAAACCCCAAAGTCTCATAATTTAACAAACCTTTGTTTTAAAAAGAATTTCAGTTGAAATCTGTCATTCTTTCTTGATAATTTAAAATTCTAGAAGCCTTCTGGGATAGAGTCCTTCCTTTCACCTGAGGCTTAAGGGAGCGAAGAAGCTTCCTGTGGCCACCAAATCAGTGGAAACAGAGGAGCACACACACAGAGGAAGAATCAATTTTTACATTTGCAGTTTTGCAAATCAAGCAAGGCTCAAAGCTGACAGAAGAAAAAAGCAACACTAAGCTCATCTAAACTATAGGGAGACCATGGAGGAGCCGGTCACAAAAGCTTCAAACTGGTGACTTTGCAGCCTTCTTTTCAGTTCATTACAGAATATTGTTTCACTGTTACTTGAAGTCTCAAGAAAAACAGAGCTGACTCAATTTTTTAAAATTCAAGATTTTTCACATCTCAGACTGTATTTGAGACAAGATTCCCAGGATATTAGTTAGCAGTCTTTCCTCAATATCCACTTTTTCCATGACATCGTGAAAACTTCTTGATATGCCGGCAGGCTGTGATTACTGTTATTATTGCTGGTTAAAACCACCTTGTTTTCTCATATTATGTAGTTTCTCATGCACTGCTATTGTCATTATTGTACAGAGCAATTTTTAACCAAATCTTTAGACAGGCAACACATAGTTGTTAACTTTTTGTTAGATTTCGTTACCTTCACATGATTAATATGGCCAATTACACAGAATCTGAAAGATACGGGTTGTCTGTAGTTCACTGAAGGTGGAGTAAACCCAGCTCTGTTGTATATTAAATCTCCACCTAGGTTCAGTTTCCCCCATGTGTGTTATAAAATCATCTCTTACCACAGTAGAGAAAAATGTTGATTTTTCCTATCTCAAAAAAACCCCCAAACTTAAACTTCGAAATTGCCATATTTGAAATGTCCTTCTTTTGAATTTATAGCAATTCCTGCAGGTAAAATTCCAAATCTTCAAGTCAATTTGATTCCAAGTAGCACCTAAGTCAGGTAAACTGTGATTAGTTTTACAAAAGCTTATGTCAGCAACACTGAAGTCTTAACCTTGAAGAACAACAAGGTCATGATTCTGATATATACAGTATCAGATATATTTCAGTCAGGTATTTTAGATACATAAAGTGTAACTTCTGATTAAAAATTACACTAAAGGGTTTGTCAATAGCACTGATATATCAATTATAAAAAAAAAATCCACAGAAAAAAGCAGCAGCATGCTGCAAAGTCTTGATTGAGCAAGCATAACTATTAACCTTCTAGACAGGAAACCTCAGTCTATCTTTTTTCTTTGAGGGGCGGGGTGGACAGAGATCAGGCTTATTACTGTCACTGTGCTGTCTTCGGCTATCACACATACATGGACTTTGTGTCATAATTGTATGCAATAACTAAAGGTGAGGTGCTACACACACAGCAATACTATGAGTGTTACAAGGAAAAATATCAAAGTACTTCTCAGCTCCAAAACTGGTATTTAGATTTTTATACTATATTCCACTACACAATCCCCTTTCAAACACTGTCTGAGAGTGGGAGGGTTCTCTGTACCTTTATTGACTGCAAGACACTAGTCCCCTTCTCCGTTTCTATTTTGCAGTTATCACATTCTATTTTCTGAATCTTCACACAGCCAGTCCCTGATGTTTTGATATCCAAATCTAGAATTAAAAGAGCTTTATTAGCAACAGAACGAGGAAAGTCAGATCTCTTTAACACAGTGTTTGATCACTTTATATAGTAACTATATGTAGTAGGGAAAAAAAGCAGCTTCTTTCTTACTTTAGAACCTTCTTGCAAAGTTTGACCATGCACTTTCAATTGCATGACTAGTCATTATCAACAATCCACACTGAAAGTTCAGTAAGCCTGGGTACAAGCCCTCCAGCTTCAGGAGAGAACATTGAGGCAGCAGAGGGACTATAACCTCTGGAAAGGAACCAGCAGGGTGTGGTCCCTTAGTGAAGTTTTATCTTTTTTCTTTTTCAACTCCACCTCCATCTCACAGCTACCCTAGTCACCAGTTCCAATTCAGGAGAATTAGAAATTCTCCTGAGACATTTGGGCACCCTGACACGGGTTTTTGGGGTGGAAGACTGGCAGGTTGCCTGAGATCACACATAGAGTAATAAGGTTCAACAGCACAAACACATAGGCCTTGCTTAGGCCTGTGCTGTTCAACTAGCCAGTGGCAAAACCCAAAACTAGGTATAGAAGCATTTGCATGTGTCATTCTTCCCCAGCCTTCTGGAAAGCTGACTTACTCCCCTGGCATGTTTGCCTCTAGTCTGAATCACCTCACCTTGTTACTGTTCATGCTCCCACAAAGAAAAATCACTAGGTCTTGTAGATAATAAAGCAGCAAAAGCATTTTTTTTGCCACTTGAGCTCACCCCCAAGACTAAGGAACTGCGAAGAAGTTTGACAATGTTAGGTCTGGAGATTCGGACTATATTGATAATAATTTATATTAATGATCACCATGAAGACCGGCAAAAGGTAAAGGCAGAAGTGGAAAAAAAAGTGGCTTTCTTCTTCTAAGGATAGAAGGCAGAAAGAAGAAAAAGAAAACAGGATTCAGAAGTGTTTGCTGCAAGATACGTAACTGAAAGACTAAGAGAGAGAGTGAGCCCCACTACTCTCTTAAGAAAAGAAACCTTCACTTAAGCACATGTGAAAGTCTTTCCTTCACCTCCACTGCCCACTAAGGTGACCAGCAATATCAAAAGAAGAATCAGAGTACGCATAACCAGCTTTGCCCCAGTGAGATTGCCAAGTCAGACCTGTGACCCAGCAGAGCCTGAAGATCAATACTGTCACACCACTACTCAGGACAGGTGCTGGAATCATGCTGACAGTAAGCTTGAAGATTGTGAAGCTGAGAGACTGGGAGCTCCAATTAACAAGAAATGAAAGTTCTGCCACCTGACAAACCAGGAGAACCCAAGGGAGAGAGCTAAAACACATAACATCTTCGCTGCAAGTGTGTTACCTTATTGCCCCAGTAAGCAAAGAGGTTAAATTTAGTGAAGGATGTAGACTGTGTTCACAAGTAACAATTCCCTAAGAAAGAAGGCTACAAGAGGTGGACTGGATAATTCCCAGAATGTTACTTTATTTGCAGATACTATTTTCTTAATCTCTTCACAGAAGACTTCTGAGAAAAAGATACTGTGACCAAGACTGTAGTCAAACTACATTTCTGTAAGTAAACTCTATGATACACTTTGAGGCATGTAAAAGCACAAAACCAGGCCAAGTGGACTGCTGACTACCATTAGAGGCTCAAGGGCCACCTCTACAAGGTTTTATGTTGGTAAAGCCTAAACAATTTCACTAGACTAAAAATATCTGAGTGATATCTGAGCTATTTCAATTTGATCAATGCTGATCCACAGGTTCTGAAGGTTAGCCAAAACTTTTACATAAGGTTTTACTTCTCAGGGAACAGTTGGATTGTTTAAACACAGTTCCCAGAGAGACACAAACAGAAGCACTCTCCAAATATCTACATTTGAAACAGCACAGCAAAAACCTGGAGAGTTCAAAAAGAAAGCAATGTTATTTTTGAAATACAAGCTGTCTTGCCCAAAACTGCTCGATTTCCCCACTGGAGAACTGCGCAGTTCTTCAGAAGATCTACATCCAAGACTTCTGTTATTTTGCTTCCTGAGAAGGGACTCCCAAAAGCCTGTTTGCTTGTGCAAATCTTTGAATTCAATCAGCTCAATACTCTCTTGGCCTTATTGGTTCTGTCAAAAAGGAAAAGGCTTAGGAGCAGTCAGTTTAGCCATGATACAAACTTACTTAGACTTTTACAAGAATAAGTTTTTATTAAACTTCTGATCCTGTAGCACATATTATGGCCATAATTTGAAAGGTGAGTTAGTAGTGTAATCCTGGCTGCATCAAACATGGGTGCTAAAAGAAGACACAGAAGTCTGGAAATTCATGAGCGTGCTGTTAAGAAACACCAGGGATTTCTGAAAATATACTTTGATCCTCTGCAGAGTCACAGTACTTTGCTAGCCTTGATATAGCAAAAATTAGTGGACAAGGAATTGAGTCCTCCTGTCTCACAGACTTCCTCAAGAAGGGATAGACATCTCCAAAAAGAAGCAGGCTAAAAGCTCAGTAATATTGCCAGTGAAATTTTAACAAGAAGGAACAGGATACAATCTGTTTCAGTGCAAAAACTGCAGAAATAGCCAGTTTGATTCCTCCTTAGCAAAGACAAGGACTGAAGCCAACTTTAGCCACACAAACCTCAAAGAATACATAGAAAGCTATAATTTTTGAAATAGACTGAAAAATTATTTTCAAGTGACTCAGCAGCCCTAGACTACTAGAATAATCTCAAATTATGGTTATACAAGACCTCAGTTGAGTTTACTTCTGAGTACTCAGCCAACGTACATTAACAAGAAATCAAAGTTCTTTAGGTTTAATTAGCACATGCAGTTCAATATGCCAAGACACAGGGTTCTCACTATGTGCTCCAAAACTAGAGCTATGCGTCTACACTGTTCCTGGAATAAACAGATAACATATATACGAGGCCTGAAGGAAAACAAATAAACTAGATTAGAGAGGAATTCATTGACATCTAAAACCTATGAAGGTTAAACGAATCAGAGGATTATCAGATCACATATGATATTGAAATACTATACAGTGCTTAAAACTAGACACTAAAACAGAAATAGAGGATCTGTTAGTATTTGCCCTACTAAACTGCTTGCAAGTTGCCTTTGGTTTAAAATTCATACTTAAGTTGAGCATCTAGCATCTTCCACACATGCTCTCCAGGCTCTAAGGAGCTGTGGTGGGGGAAAAAAAGTTTTCCCCCTGGAGTTAAAGAAATGGTAACCCCCGAGGGGGTGGTGTCCCTTGGAGTTGAGCCAATCAGCGCTCCTGCCAAATATAAACATATCACAACCAGACTGGAAAAGAAGGAGGAGGTAGTTCTTGGAGGGGAAAGGTGGCCACATTCTGAAGCCACAAGGAGAGGGGTCCAGAGCCCTGTTGGGGGCTAGGCCCCCCCTCAGCCCCAGCTGGGGGGCTGCAGGAACTTGGAACAGTGTTAGACTGGGCCAAGTATCTGTAGCTGGAAAGCTGGGAGTTTTTCTCCACTGTGAGTGGGCAGCAGGAGCAGCGGCAGAGACAGCAGTGAACAGAGGCTATGGCTGAAAGCCAAGAGATAAGGAGATGCAGCAGAGATGGCATGCAGCAACGCAGAGAGAACTCCTGCAAGGAGAGAGAGCCAGCAACAGAGCAGGACTAAGCTCTACAGAGAGAGAGAGTTTGGGGTAAGAACTGAAACAAACTCCCCAAACCCCTCTGAGACCTCCTAGAGAGGAGGAGGAGATGGACTCCTATTTGAGAGGAGTCTTGGAGTACAGCAGCACCAGAGACAGAGGAGCTGAGAAGCTCAAAGATGTCCCGGAGCTCGACCAGGATGGCCAGATGGAATGAGGAGGGGGTGACCTTGCTCCCCCCACTGCTGCTGCCAAGCTGGCAGTTGAGACAGAGCACAGGAGCTCTGGTAGAACTCTTGAGGCAAAGACTTTCAACTGAAAGCTGCCCAAGATGTTCTGACTCAGAGGTAAATCCCCTGAGGAAGGGACTTTCACGAAGATGCCCCTGCACTTTGTGATATGCCCGTGGTGAAGCGAGTTTTGTCCCTGCTGGCAGTCCACGGGTGAGACTTTTGTTTGGAGTCGAAGGGCTGAGAGGGGTAGAGGAGACCCCCCTTGTGTGTACTGGAAGGAGATCCAGTTACAGCTGCTGCATGGAAGAAGAGAGGCTGTTGCCCCGAGAGTGGAAAGGATCTTTCCTTTCCCCTTCTGGACTTCTATTGGAGGGAGAATAGATCTGATCCATTGTAAATATTGATTTATCATAGGAGAGATAGTTAAGATTGTATATATAATTATATTTATTTGTATAGTGATTGTAATATAATACCCTTTCCCCCCATATTGAGTCTTGTGTTGTGTCTGGAAAACCCATCTCACACTGGGGTGAGATGTGGGAGGGGGGCTTGGACTCGGGAATTGGATTTTAGGGCTCTCTAACTACGACAGGAGTTTTAGATGACTTAGAGCTTCCTGGATAAGCTCCAGCCTAAATTGCGAAAGCTGTTATGAAATGCCTTAAATTCCAAAATGAAGAAAGAAGCTAGAACACTGTAAAGACATTCATATCAACTTCTCAGCTTCTTACAGGTAAGTGACAAAAAGAGTTCAGACAAAAAGGTCCAAGCAGAGCAGAGTTAACATCCTCCTCACACATTCAAGACAGGCCAGAGAAAAGCCAAAGTCTTGGCAGAGCAACAACAGTTCCTTTCTGGTTTGAGATGTGTTTTTACAAGGGATAAGATCTTTTGCTTATGCAATGATATTTAATGGATAATTCTTTTCTAAATAAACAAGAAGAGCAACTCAAGCACAAGTTAGAGGTGAAAGGACTCATAGTAGAACCTCACTGGCAAGCAGCAATTCTACTTCACTGAGTAAAAAAAAAAACAACTTTACATTTTAAGACAGATATCCCCAGATATGCTTGGATAACAGCACGAATAGACAATACTAATATCATGCTAATTATGGGGTGACAGACAGCAACTCATGGAAGGGCACTATAATCCACAGACTGTCCACGGAACCCGAACTGCAGGAGCTTACCACAAACCCAAGTGGAACAGCTTAGAAACCTACAAATTAAGAAAAACCGTTTCAAGACCATAAGATGGCCTGCAGTGTTGGCTGGCATTCAGAATATAGTAAGACAGGACAAAAGCTAAATTATTGTCCTCAAAGACAGGACAAAAGCTAAATTATTTTTTTCCATCAATTAGGATTCATTATTGAGACCTTTAGGAAGGTTTCTCACATTGAAACTCTTTATGAAGCCTGAGATTCTCCAGATATTAACACAATGAATTCTATTTCCCAGGAGAGAATTGACTCATAATAGTCACTCAGAGATCCTGGAGAAACTGAAATATTAAATGATCAACAGCTACAGTGGGCAGACACACCTGGTACCAGAGAATTGAAGGTTTGTTTGATTCTCAGTAATTCTGGGATGGACTCTATGAATGTACTACAAACAAGACAAAGCAATCTTTGCATTTGCCAAGCAGAGGATGAAAAGGGGGGAAAAAAACAAACTAAGATTGTAAATGAAAATTATTAGTGAAGAGTCAAAACTACAAGTCCTTGCAGATGAGAGTCCTGTTCAGTGACAGAGTCAATGAATATAGAGGTAACAGCTGATCTCTTTAAGAGAATGAACTTGGATTTTCAGGTATCTTTAACAATATCCTTAGTTCTATACTGTCTTTCAGCTATAAGCTATCCACCACCTTCAACACTACAACAATTTGGAAATTAGCACAAATAGCAAGGTTGAAAAATTTTATCAGTAACACCAAATTATTGAGACTAGTTAAAAACTCACTGATGAACTGCAGAAAGACCTTGGAATACCACCTACTAAAATGATAAAATAGCAGGAAATTGAATTGTGGGACTGTGGCAAGAAGCAGAGAGTTTACCAGGAAGTTTTCACTCTGAAACTGTTTACATGTGTGCAGGGACACCCGGAAGAGAGATCCATTGAGGGGCTGAGCTGTATCAGGCTCTGAAAATCCTTTGATGAAAACAACTGACAGCTAAGAGAACATTCAGATGAAATATCATTTATGTTTGTTCTGCTCTTACTCTTCCCTGAGCATCTGTTTCTGACTGCTACCAGAGAAAGGACAGTGGGCAGCTGGACTTGTGGTGCAAATCAGTACAGCCATTCTAACACACTGAGGGTAGGAAGGGTGAGATGCCCCTGATTTTATTTACAAAACATCTCTGTCCATATTAGTTGCTAGGAAACAAAACAGACCATATGTTTCAATAAACATATTTAAGAAACACCCCTTCAGTTACAGTGTTAAAAAAAGTAAGTTATAGGAATGACTATGGCTGGAAAATGTGAGAATGATGTTATGTCAAACCCATGGCACTTCTCCAGTTTGAATTATATACAGCTCAGGTCCTTCTAAAAGAAAACAAGGGAAAAAAAGCACATTGCAGAATTTTCCCTAAAATACAAGGGGGAAAAGGCAAGATAAGATAAAAGGTGCCATATGTCTTTGCTGTATCATGTTCTGCAAGAGTCACAGATGACACAGAGTTTGCAATCTGATGACTGCTTTAAACTTTGTAACTCAAGTGGGGCATTTTGTTTGTTTGAGGGGTTTTTTTGGCACCTGTTTTGCCTAAAATACATTTTGGGTTATGAGTTCATTATTTATTAAAAATAAAAAGTTGTGCTGATGGTGAGCAAATAACTGCAACGTTATTGTATCTTAGAGTTACAAAGGCACCATAGATTAAATAGGATTAAATCTGACTTCTAACAGGTATGGGCACAATCTGCAGAGCTCTGGTTTAGCTCTGAGCACTTCTACTTGCACAAATCCATAGGAAATTAACGGGAACAGCCCTTGGAATGCAGGCGTGCACAGCACATGCTGAGGATGCTGCCTCCGAGCCGAGGTTACGCCTTTTCTGGAGCAGCAGGTGCCAGAGCAAAAACAGTGTGCTGTAAACTACCACTCACCAGCGGGAGCTTCAGCGCTAACTACTGCTGACAAAGAGGTCCGCAAATCGAAAACAACCAAAACATATATCCAAACACCCACGGAGTCAAGAAACAGAAAACCCGGGGCGTTCTTAACGCCCTAATTCGCGGGGGCACGATGCCATGCCCGCACACCGGCTCCCAGCCGCAGCAGCGCCCGCACAACTCCCGGCGAGAACCCCACCCGGGGGCTCCTGCGCACCCACCGAACTTCACCGGCGTCCGCACCTCCACGGCGGCCTTGCTGTCCACGCCGTCCGCCACGATCGCCACCTGCCCCAGTGCCTCGTCGTGCTCCACCCGCACGGGCTCCCGCTCCCGCCCGCGGGGCGCGGGGCTCCCGCCGCTCACGGCCACCAGCACACGGTCCGCGCCCGGCCAGCGCTGCGGGTCCAGCGGGCGGACGCTCACCTGGCACGGCAGCCGCACCCGCAGCCGCCCCCGCGGGCTCACGGGCAGCGCCCACTCCCGCGGCGCGGGCGGGCCGGGGCCGCTACGCCCGCGGCGCGGGGGGACGGGCGGCGCCCACCGCCCGCCCGCCGCCCGCACGGCCAGAGCCGCCCAGCGCGGGGCAAGCGCCCTCATTGCCGCCGGCGGGGCAGGAGCCGCCGGGAGCCGCGGTAGGAGCGCGCGGAGCGCCCGGGACGGACAGGACGGAGCCGCTCCCCGGGAACGGCCGTGACCCCCGCCCGAACACGTGACGCGGCTGCACGCGGGGAGCGGCCCCGGCGCGGACGGTAAACAGGCCACGGCCGCGCCGCGGGGGCTGCTGGGAGCTGTAGTTCTGCAGCGCGCGGGAAGAACCACGACCGAGCCCGCGGGCCTATCGGCGAACGGGGAGGGCGGGGCATCGCCGTGAGTCTGCTGCGATTGGGAGGCGGGGAAGGACGCCGGAGCCAATCAAGAGCGGGGGCGGGCGGGAGGATGTGGCCCGGTTGCCATAGCGACGGGGACGCCGCTCTGGCCGGAGGGCCCCGGGGGGCCCCGGGGGGCCGGAGCCGGACCGAGATTGGGATCGGGGCCGGGGCCGGGAGAAGGAAAGCCACCGCTCCGACGTTGAGGCGAGAAGCGAATCCAGCGGCGGCGCCTCAGCCCTGTTTGAGGAGTTCCTGAGTGCGACCCCCGGCGCGGGGCCCGGGGCGGTGCCCTGTGCCGTGCGTGAGGACACGAGGTATCCCGGGGCGTGAGGGCCTTCTCCACGGTGCCTCAGGCTGGAAGTGGCGCTGCCAAGCGTTGGTTTCCAGTGGGAGAACCGTGGTGGTTGGGTTTCAGCCCTCTCGGCTCCATGGCTCGGCAGCCTCTGCGCCGCGGGATTTGACAGCGGCGAGGAGGAGGCAGGATGAGAGGGATGGGAGAGGGGGAGGCGGCAGGGCTCTATGTCGCAGCCTGGCAGAGAGGCTAGCTGTGTTAAAATATGCTCGGTCAGAGGGTGAAGAAGCAGTTTGGCAGCTCTGCTGGAAAACCAGGGGTTCTTTTTTCCCAAGGTGGTAGTGCGAAGCTCCAGAATCACTCTCTGTCAGTAAGTTTTGATTAATGTACTATTTATTGTGATTGCTTTTTAGCAGTTCTAAAGCAAGGCAGATAAATATTTTCCTGACCTCTGTACAGACGGGCCATGAGAGAATTGTCCTTACAGGGTTTACAAACAAGCGGGAACCATTTAATTCAGTTTAAAGGACTTTTTCGGAGTTCATAGCCCCCATTATCATTGTATAACAATTAAAAATAAATGAGGTGGGGCAAGTGAGCGACAGATGATGTGGACTGCATTCATATCATAGGTGTAGTTTACTGCCAGTAACAGAAGCGAAATATGCACAGTAAGCTGCATTGTCTTAGCAGCATTGCAACACAAGAAATAATGAAGTCTAGGTGTGTTACTTCATTATTACCTCCCTTTTGCACTCCATGCATTGTTTTTCTTTTTCATAAATGATCATGCAAACATGATACTTGCTCGTCAAACACTTCAGTGTCATTAGCCTTATTTTAATTTCTATCACTGTCTGGCAGTGGTTATTTATGAGCCTGAAATGACATCTCAGTGTCATGTCAAGAGGAAAGAATATGGCCCTGGCTTTTTGGTCCATTGGTAATTATCACTGTGGAAAGTTTAATAAAGATCCATATTTGTCAATAAAGCCCTTCAAGTTAAGTTATTTCATTGGTTTACATCGTTCAATCTCAAAAAAATTCTTAGATGAAACACAAAAAGAGCCAGCCTGCCATATGATAGTTTAGTACAGAAAAATAGAATTCTAGAAAGTCAAAAATGCATTCAGAAATATCTTGGGACATGATGGAGGATGGAAGTTACTTTTTTCAAGTCTTCAGGAATAGTTGATTTTGTGGGGAAAAAATACTACAGAATTCTCACTCTTAAGACTAAATACCAAATTTGAACGTTAGGTCGTTTGCCAGGGAAACAGTTACAGACAAGGAGTCTGATGCAATGTGCAGGGATTCCACTAGATGACAGCCAGCTCAACAACTGACTCTGTAGTCCTGTTCCAAGGGAATTCAGTCTCTAGTTAGGTCGGGCTTAACCGTTTATCCCTGGGCCAGTGCTGCTGTTCCTCGTCCCTGGCTCCTACCTCCTCTTAAACGACAGTGCTGCTTTGCCATGGCCCCCTCCTCCTCCAGGGTCTTGGTACTCGATGCTCCTCGTGTAGGCAGAGGTTTATCAGTACCCACAACCCACAGTAAACTGTGCTCTGCATCATCTTTAATACTGTCAGGTTTTGTGTAGTTGAGAACTTTGTTCAAGAAACCATTCCAAGACGCTTCAGCTATGTTTGTATTTCACTGCTGGTGTTGGACTTTCTCATTAGATACAGTCTAAGCATACTTATATGGCTAAAAATGAGAAGAACAGATAAAAAATATTTGCTGAGAAGAAGTTCTTTCTCTATACATATGAAACCTCATGTTTTTAATGTTTTACTTATCTCATCTATATTTTTGCCATATTGATTCAGTTTAACTTTCATGCTCTTGTTTGGATCAGCTGGTATAGCATGTAGCAGACTCTAACAGTAAAATGAGATTTATTTTCATCTTCAATTTTCTGACTTGTCATTTGCAGGAAAAGAAAGCTATATCAAATTTACAAGTGAAGATGTAATTAGAGCTCCACTTTCGAGATACCTGCATGATTCCATGATTCCTTAGCAAGTTACAATGCTTATTTGCCATTTTGCAACATATTAGTGCTGTTGTAAGTCAAAGAATATTCAGTATTTCATGCAAAAGATAAAAAAGCCCTAGAAGTTATAAAGTGATATAAAATAGGTTTTGAGCCAAAGCAAAGAGGTGCTTTTAGGTGAAGATGAGAGAGAGATTTCAAGGGAGGAGGAGTTAAATAAAAAGGATCTATGAGGAAGGCTGTAGAAGGAATACATTTTTTTAACTTTTGTATTTGTAATTAATCACAGAATAATCACAGACTGCTACAGGTACCCAGGGGGTGTAAACTTAGTCTGCCTGGTGAGGATTGAGTTTACCCATTTGCTATAATTGTATTGAAGAATCAATGTGACTTCACCTCCTAGGAAGAAAGGAATGACACCTTTATTGGTATTTTGTATTTTTTAGTGGTGTTTTTCTGAACTGTTTCCTTGAACCTTTTTAGTTCTCAAGGCATGCCTAGGGTTCAATGTGTAGAGAAAGTGTATTTTTTTTTGTTTTCCCTCTGTACTTTAGCATTAAAAAGCACACAATGGTTTGGATTTCAGGGATTTTTTGTTTGTTACGCTCCCAGAAACTTTCTGAGGAAATTAAGTTCCTCATGGAAGCCATGCTAAATGGGAAGTGGCAAATCTTACCATTGAAATTCTTCTCGTCTTAGCCATATCTAATTAGAACTACAGCAGATAAAGTCTGTGTGTGGCTCAGAGGGATTCCCACACACATAGCAGAGACTTGAAAACAAGGGTGGTAAACAGTGGAACTTTTCACAAAAATTAAGCTGTTCAGGTACACAGCGTGCTCTCACTTCCCCAAAGTAGTTGTCTATGAGATTGTACAGTCTGATCAAACAATCCATTTAATTTACATATTTGTTACCATGTCCTATTGTATATGATGTGACTTTAATTTTAATTATAATTTAATGTTGGCATGGCTTTGTCATTTAATGACACATTCCTTCATGCTGAAGCACAGGCTCTGCCCAGTTAAAACAGAAGATCTGCTGCTTTAACTTTTGGAAAGAAGCATTAGAATATAAAATTTTAGGGGATGAAAAGAAGATCACTGTGTGATTGAATAAATCTATGCTATTCCTATGTTATTAATATTATCTGTAGGTCTTATCTCTTCCCTTCTCCTTGAAGAGGATATGGTAGAACTGGAAAAATTTTGGAGAAGGATGATAAGGACATGGAAGGCAGAGAAGGGCTTTCATGCCAGTGACAGCAGGTAGATTGACTGCTTCAGCCTAAAAAAGGATTGTCAAATGAAGATACAACATTAGAAATAAACCTAGTGGCATAGAAAAGTTGTGATTATTCGGTGGCTCATCCAGTAAAAGAACTAGGAGCCATCAAGGAGCCATATTCAAAAGGAACAAGAAGCACTGGTTACTCATGTCATGCAGAGGTAAAATAAAAATCTCCCTTCCACTTGATTTTGCCAATAACTGAAAGTTTGCATGAGTTCAAGGAGAAAGGAGGTGAGTTCAGGGAAGCATCACCACACCATGACTGGTGGATACTTCTGTCCCTCCCCAGGCATCCAGTGTTGGCTGGAGTCTCTGTGCAGAGCTAGATCAGCTTCTGCTCTGATATCACTGTTCTTATGTTCCAACTGCATTACATAATTTCTCTAACTAATGTGAAATGCTACGTCAGTCGTCTTTCAGAGTAACTTTTATTTTTCAAGATTTATGTGCAAAAGGAGGTAGCATGAAGATGTACATAAATATCCTGAGGTTTAGATTCTTCACTGAAATTGGAACAGAATTCCAAGGGAAGTGGTTGAGTCACCACCCCTGGAGGTATTTAAATTATATGTAGGTGTGGCACTTAAAGACATGGTTTAGTGGTGGACTTGGTAGTGCAGGGTTAACAGTTGGACTCAATGATCATAAGGATCTTTTCCAAACTAAATGATTCTATGCTTCTAATTCTACAAAGGGATTAAAATAAAGTTTAAAGGGGTCCATCAGTCACTTGAAATGTATTTCCCTCAACAGAGACTTTTACAAATTTTGTGTCTTCTAAATTAGTCTAGTTGATGCATTCATACATGGAACTGCATCTCTTATTGCTCAGAATAAAATTTTACTACTTTTGCATCTGTCACTCTCAAGTCAATGCTGCAAAGTATCATCTACCTGGATTCTGCAATGACTTGTGTATGGACATTGCTGTTTGCTTAAGGAAAGATGCTGAAACTAGTTTGGGCAATCCGAGTTCAGATTTTTATTACTATTGCTGTCCTGAAGCTGTTTCACAAGACAATTCTCAGCCTGACTTGACCCAGGTTCCAAAACAGACTTGTAATTCCCGTTCTCTGCAATTCTGTGTCTTGGATCAATGTTGTGATATTATTTGCAGTTCTGCAGTTTGAAAACATCCATCTTT